ATCCTAGGACTCATTATCTGGGTACCATGTCTGTTGCAAATTTAATGCCAATCAATCCAGTAGTTGAGATATTTCAGTCAGGACGTGAGTGGTGGGCAGACTGACCGTCAGCTGAGTAAGAGCATGGCTAAAAAACAGACTTGTGTGTGTACCTAAATTGCTCCAACTGGTTCTTTGGAATGCACAAGCCTGAGGATCTGCTGCTGGGAATCAAAGACTGTGTTTATAGGGAGGTGAATGGGAACTTTCCCATGTGTTACTTATGTACACAATCAGCACTGACTGTAAAACACACACTGAGTTTACTGAGCAGATGGACTGCTCATTGCATTGTCACTGGACTATACTGGAAAACACAGAAGCTGGTCAGCAGGTGTGTGTGTGTGTGTGTGTGTGTGTGTGTGTGTGTGTGTGTGTGTGTGTTTGATTTTGGGTTTTTCAACAGGAAGTGTGAGAGCCAGCCTGAGAAAGTCCATCTGACACACACACACTTGCACACACACCCGCCTGCACACTCTAACACGCACACACCACGCACACACAAACAAGAATGTGTAAGAGTAAGTAAATAAGAGTGTTATGAGGGTCTGATACATGCATGAATTTCACTTACAAAATCAGCTCTATTTATACATGTGGTTTCAATAAGCTGTGGATCATCTGTTTTTCCTAAGAAAAGTGGTTAACAGTGGGTTAGGGTTCTCAGTCTAACTTACTTACTAAGTTAATGGGGTTGAAGTCGTACGGAGAGCAGCTATCTCCTCTGTGGATCGCCGATCAGCCGCATCAGACCTTTTCTGTCCGAGGAGAATCAGACTAACTGAGCGTCCAATAACAGCATTTATTAAGTTTCAGACTCTCACAGCCCAGTACGTGCCCACGCAGAGGATGGAATCCTGGGAAACTGGCAAAGCATCATGAGACAATGTGGATGTTCTCTGCTGCTTCAACAACAAGCCTTCTATCACACAAACAAAAGGGGTGTGTTTGTGTTGTGTGTGTTTGTGTGTGTGTGTGTGTGTGTGTGTGTGTGTGTGTGTGTGTGTGTGTGTGTGTGTGTGTGTGTGTGTATCCTAGACAGATACATGAAATTGTTCTGAATGAGGTCATAGAACTAAAGGAACCCTCCTCTGTCCTCACTTTCCCTCACTGACTGAAAAAACTTCACTCAGTAAAGTGTTCAGCAGGGTGCAAAAAACTGCTATCTTTTTATTATTTAGATGTTTTTATATTGAACAGGAACAACTTAATACATTTTACACAAAAAATATAGCTTAAAAGAATTTGAGCACAGAAACAGGGGAAGTTCTTCACAGTGTACTGAATCTCTATCAATCCTTTATTTAAAAAAAGATCATTCAAAAGATTTGTTCATTGAATCATTTAGGGCTTGACTTGAGCTCTGCTACTATGAAATTAACGGTTTGCAGGTCTCTTACTTACTCTTACTTATGGATGTCCCATAGCCCATCGCTAACATTTTAGTCCTGTCTCGCCTATGAAACAAAACGTATATTTCTTCATAGTTTTCATTACCATGGATCTATTTTGAGCTCGTCAGTGTAGTAGAGTAGAGAGACATGGCAGACTACAGGCTGGAAACCTGCTGATCTAAATTTGACCCCAAATGACATTGTCCATCCCCTCGACAGCAACACCCAAAAGTTTCCTGCGCGCCTCTATCAGCAGCACAACATCATTTTTCTGTGCCTTTTAAAACAGTTACAAATAACTTGAATTTGTTTGTGAACAGCGGTCTCTGGTGTCTGATATTTTGTTGATCAAACCCTCCCCCTCCCACTGTGGACTTTTGTCCTATAATAACGTCACCTGACTTCCCCCTTCTGCTCTTGTCACAATCCCTAAAGCTGATAGAGAGCTCTGTCACTTGAACATCAACAGATAACATGGGGCGCCGGGAAAGCTCACCTGGCAGAGCGGCCATGGGTTTGACTCTGACCTACGAGTCATCCCCTCTCTTTCCCTCCTTTGCTTTCACTATCAATTAAAGGTCATGTTGGGGCACTTTCTGGAATGACTGATGCTGTTATCCCTTTTGAGAGGACAGTTACAATTCCTCCTTCCTGTGGAGGAAAAGTGATGATGCACTGACTGGTTCAAAGGTTTGAGAGCACACCTCCGTCCACACCTCTCTGTGATGTTTTGTAAATGTTTGTTGAGGCAGCTGTAGTGTTTTTTACTTGGGACCGCACCCGGCTACAATGTAGTGTTGCACTGCTCAGGGTGGGGACAGGGCATGTAGCAGCTGACAGGACAGCAGGATTGTTAGCCTGGGTGTAGTTTACTAAATTGTAGAACTCAACTCACATGTCAGACAGAGCTTCTATCTGAGAATTCAGCAGTGGCTCACATGGCTGGTCTCCATGGGAAAAGGCTTGTTTAATTGTTCTGTGTGTTGTTAAGGTGTGTCCACTGCTATCATACACAAAGGCATCCATTGACATGCCCACGGATACACACACACACACACACACACACACACACACACACACACACACACACACACACGGTGTCATAAAGGATGTACATGAGATATCAGTGTGTGTTTCAGAGTGGGAACTGTGTTAAAACAACCAGCTCTGATAAGACTTCCTCACAAGGATTATTTCTGCTTTCCACGGTTAACAGTTTTCATTGGATCTGCTTTTAATCAGAGAAAAAGGAAAACAGGAGGTTGTTTCCGGAAAAACGCATATTCAAATGTTATTTATTGACGCTTTAAGCAGCAAAGACGCATTTCCGTTCATCTCTGACGTACTGAGATAGCAGCAAATGATTCCGAGATGAATATCTCAAAACCAGAGCAGAGCCACAACTGTAGCCTCTATTATCCAGAGGCAGCATTGGTCAATGCACGTTATGTGTCATATTCTCTTATTTCTTTTTATTCTTGCAATTCTGATCCTTTCAGGCACCTATTCCTACTACTGCTCCAGCATGAACACACGCTTAATGGAAAATCATCCACAGCCTCACACATGCAAGCAAACTTTTAGTTTAGTCATAATGGCCATTCCAGGAAGCTTCTTTCGGCGTTTCTGTCGGACTCCGAGACTGATTCATCAGACTGACTTATACTCACACAGCTTGTCCCGATATATGTGGTTTTAAGTCTTTGTTTGTCCAAATCTTTACAACAGCAGTAGAGAGGACAAAGTTAGCCTGACTCATGGAGCCACAGTAGCCACATTCATGGGAAATACACCAGGTTGAAATAAACCAGAATGATCAGTTAAGTATATTTTACACTTTAGCTTAATGACTTTTGTGATTTTTGTTTTTTTCTACACAGAAGTTTCGCAATATTTTATCTTATCTTAATTCAATTTTATGACGAGCTTCAATCTCAACCGACAACAAAAAAAATACTACTTACAAATTAACAAACCAATAATATAAAACATAATAACACCCACAACTATCTATAAAATAGATAGTTTTTCTTTTTTTAATATTAGTCATTTAACCCTCAGGTGCCGATCTAGAGGGGTGGCACCCTTACAAAATGCCTGGCAACCCCAGTCTGGTGTCAAATGCTTTGAACATTGAACACAACAATTTAAATTCATTTTAAATATTCTGAAATGAATTAAATTATTTATTATAGCCTGATGTGATTAGTTTAAATTCAATTAAATAAAAAATAAATTTGATTTCTAATGCTACCTGTAGATATTTCTATTCAATGCTTACCATTGTGCAACATTATTGTTAATATCTTCATTTGGGGGCTTTTCCAAGCATGTGATTATTTGCGATTAAATCAGCATATTTGTGCAAAATGAATGGCATTCCCATGAGCCTTAGCTGTACTTTGTGTTTAGTGTTAATTAGCAAATTTTGCTAAACCAAGATAGTGACCGTGGTAAACATTTGTGCCTGCTTAACATGAGCATTTTAGCATTAAGTTAGCACCTAGCTAAAAACATGGCTGTGTCCAACTTCACAGAGCTGATAGCATGGCTGTAGACTGTTAGTGTCTTTATAAATCTTCTTTCACTGCTTTTAAAGCATTTTGATTGCTATTTGGAAAAAAATGCTGTGAAATAAACAGTACGAAATCAGTTAATTATTGTGAGTTTCCAGCCTTTATTATGTAGTTCTCTGTAAAAAAAAAAAAAAAAAAAAAGGTAAAAAAGACAGCTATCATACATAGGCCTACATCACATTCCACACACACACACACAATGTTGATGCTACAGCTCCATCTGCTGGCTACCTACAGGTGCAACACAAAGAGGATTATAGATTTTTTTTTTATTGAACACTCAGACAAAAACTACTTTTAAAAAAAAGTTTATATATTAATAAGAATGTTCACATACATAAACAGGTATGATCACCCATGTTAGAACATGTGTGCTTGCTTCAGTCACTGATCCACGTCCTTGTCCTCCAGGCGACTCTCTTTTTGCTCCGTCTTCATTTCTAACCACTCACGTCAGCTACATTCTGCTTCATCCTCTCTAAACATCTCCTTTCTCTTATGTGCACAGAGGAAGTCCAGCATTTAGAAGTAGCTTGACATCGCTTTCTCACTCTCTCCTCCCCCCCCCTTACCATTATTTCTGTTGAGCACTTTTCCCCATAGCTGAATAGACAGTCTACAGCTAGATGGTGTTATATGCTGGGCAGATGTGAAGCTCTTTGATGCAAAGTTCACAACCAGCAGAGGGATACTTTAGTACACCGAACACTTTGGTACACTAACTATAAGTGTAGACTGACTTAAACACGTTTTGGCATTCAGACAGTTGTGAAGCCTGTCAGCACCAGCAGTGGGTTGCAAAAAGTTAGCCTCAATATTTTTTGATTTGGCTCGTGACTGTATTTTAAACAAACTCATGCTTGATCAAGTGTTCAAACAGAACTTCATTTTAAATTATATAATAGACAGCCTGCGATACTCCAACAGTATCGATATATTTGACTGTCTAAATTGAAAATTTAAACATTTCCCCTTTCAAAAAGACACTGAATAATTCATAAAGAAATTTATTCAAGTTTAACATGAGGCAAACATGGTGGTAGTGCAAGCTTTGCTAAAACAGTTCTATAAATATATAAAATTATTTATTTTACATTGCACAGTAAAACAGGTCAGAGCCTTAAAACACAGTACACAGATTCAAAAACAGGAAGACAAACATCAGATTAAAATGTACTTTTCCCTTTAAGTTGCAGATTTGAACCATCACATTTGTAACTTGAGAAAAATAATCCTTTAAAATACACTGTATATATTTGAATGGATGGCTTCTTTCAGTTTGATTTGCAAGTCAAAGTATTTTCGGAAAATAAATTGCTTGTGTGCAGTTCTCGCTTTTCCATCTGAGCACAAGAAAACATTCATGATTGTTTTTAAAGCTAAAAAGTGTCACTGATCTTTTGACTGGTCAGTTACAACATGATTAAGTTTCTAACTGAACAGGATTCAGCGGGATTAAACACAGTCTCTCTGTAGCCAATTCCAGTGCAGCACTCAGGGACTGTCCCACAACTCACAGCCTGCTGCGGTGTGTAACAGACAAGCTGGTAGGCTGAATGCTGTTTAAACCACATACTGAGCCCGAGTTTATTACAGAAACTTGACTGTTCAACCACAGACACGTTTTTGCTTCTTTCAGAATAAAGGGCCACTTCACCAGAACTACAAAAGAATTGTCTCAGAGATTTCTGACTCCACATCACCACAATGGAGGATAATGTGAGCGTGTTCATAAAGGATTTTCTATTGAATAAATAGTCCCTAAAATTATCTGGAGTAATGGGGCGCCATATCTGGTCAGACATTTTGATGCTCTAAACGGCTCAAATGAAATTCCATTCACTTCCATTGTATTGGGGTGGAGGTGGAACGTTCAGAGACATGCATGAAAACAAAACCAAAGCTATGTGCATGGAGAGGAACCTCTAGAGGTTAAGTAGAAAAATATATATATATAATATATATATATTTATCATTTGGGCCAACTAATCTGCAGCTGTAATACATTTGTTGTTATGCTGTCTCGGTAACAAAGCCACTGTCGGTATCTCCCACAATCCACTGACCTTTGCTCTCTGAGCTCACTGCGTCTTTCTGTAACTGTGGTCTCAGGTCATTTGCATGCCTTCTGTTTACAGCATTTGGTTAAGGCTGGAAACAGAACTGCGGCTCCAACAAGAGGAAACAGACTATAATGTAAACAGGCAGTTTTAAAAAAGGCAGGAAAGAAATCCACACAGAAACATGTAACAGTCGGTGGTTTAAAGTGCTGAAAGCTGGCAGTTGAAACAGGAGAATGTGAAGAAGTTGACGCCACCTGGTGAATAGTTTATAATCTCAAGTTTAAAGTGAGGTGAGGAGACCAAAACTACAAGCCTCATTTCAGTAACATGTTTTAATGAAGGCCTAAAAGTGATAAAGTGAAAGATGAATGTTTGTCTCTGGAATCATGTTCAATGTTAAAATTTGGACTTTGATCTGCAGACGCCAGAAGCCAGAAACACCCTGTTAATAAACCTGCTGTCTTGTCTATTGTTTTATAGCTTTATGTTGTTCATTTTATATCATCTCTTACAAAGCATAATTTTCTTATCTTTACTGCTGTCAAAAGACCTTCAGATCAGTCATCTTGTATTCCCTGACTGCCATTTTGTAACCTGAAATTTACGACGTGTTTTTCCCAAGCAATAACTGAATTGTCGAAGTGAGGCCGATTAAATGCTCTGCTGCTTATTTTCCAGTGCTTTCCCACCTCTGCTGTTACCTGGCCACCATTTTGTGACTTGAACCAATAAAACTGAGCAGGAGGTTCTGATGTATTTTTAACAGCTAGTGTATCATTTAAAAATTTTGGCGCAGGTTCAATGCAGTGAAGCTCCACTGATTCTCAATTTTCTAGAGACTGCTGCCAACTACTGCGGCTGGTACACAATTGTCATTTTGTAACTTAATTTTGAGGAATGTACTTTTTTTTTTTAAATGAGTGCGAAGTCTGTATTTTCAGACAGTTGAATGTTTTGAAGCAGATTAAAGTCCACTGCTTCTCAGTTTCTGAGCCACTCTCTCAGCTCAGGTGTGACTTTCCATGACCTCTGAGTCCCAGAGTGTTGATTTAAAAACAACCCCTCCTCTCTGTGTCTTGGCTTTGGATGTCATCAGCAAGTTAAAAGCTGCTTGTTGCACAACAGCCAGGAAAGATGGGTTTCATTGCACATCTGGATCAGTTTTTTGTCCCCCCACCCCACCACAGCAGTGAAACAGATGTTGCTCATTACCTACATTCAGACGTTAAATTCCCTCGAGATGGGGGAATTTTACTGTTCGATTGGTTTCGTGTTTTTACATCACAGAAATGAAAGCAGAAGGAAGACGTACGTGATGTCACTCAGTGTTTGTAGGTGAGGAGGAAGATGATGATGCCCGTCAGCAGCACCATCATCATCACCACTGACGTAAGGAGGAAGGCTCGACACGCCGGCCGCCCTGTCAGTCTGAACAGAGCTCCTCCCATGCCGCCCGCCTCGCTTGGACCCCCAGTAGGAGGGCTGGGAAGCCCCACGTCCAGAGAGCGGTTCACTGATCTCAGAGACGTCAGCGACCTCTGACCCCACCGCTGACGACCTTCAGCTGGCCTTAATGAGAAACAGAACGTCACTGATCAAGGAAAGCAGTGCTGTTCTATTAAAATCATTTGTCACTGTATTTACAAGATTTTTTTCTTCCAATGACTCAAGTAAAACAAAACAATTATGTCCAACAATTGTGATTCTTTTCAGCATATGGATCTTGATCTGTGAATCTATTGTTCCAGCCAAATGTGGCTGTAAAACAAATAAACCAGACTTCTGACATAACAATATGGTGCTACGGCAACATGTCAGCTCAGTACAGAAAACATTTGGACACAGGTCAAGATCATAATGTAGGCCATGAGCTACTATCCCTTGCTGAAATTTCCACCACTGGAAAAAAAATAATAATAAACAGGACCCCTGTCATTCAGCTAATCATTTTATTTAGTTTTAATTTCAGCCCTTTTCTTAAAAGGCTAGATTCCGGATCTCCTTCACATCAGGTCATTCTTGTCCTCAAGCACTAAATAATCAACTAAAATTTTCATAATGCTGACGTCATGAGCATTATAAAAACAGTAGCAAATTTTAATTTAAAATTTTAATTTCTTGAATTTGGTTTGAACAGGAAAGACCTGACAGAGGGGGAAACTGAAGAGGTCGACTCAGGTTGAATTAATCAGATTCATTTGGGATCAAGAAAAAAATGAGTTCTCTGAAGCTAGCCTGTTTTGAAAGTTTAAGGAGAAAAAAGTACAGATATTTGTAAAAATTCAGGGAGTAAAAGTAACGAAAAATAAGTGCTCAAGTTAAGTACAGATACCTATAAAAAAATATTATTTAGTACAGTAAAAAAGTATTTGTACTTTGTTATTCCCCACCTCTGCTTATTTTGGTTTTTTGCATCTAAAAACTTGGTCAAATGTTGTCTTTCACATTTATTTGGGTGAAAGTTATTCTTTCGAGACATCTATCTATAAATATATTTTCGAAGGTTGATCAATTAAAATTAAAAATAAAAATAAAAAAATGTATGGAGGGGGTCACGACAGAAGACATTCAGGAGCCGTAAAATGCCATGACAAACGTTGGTTGCATTTTAAATTTCATTTCACAATGATGTAGAACAGTGTAACTCTAAGGCTTAGAGGATTTAACTCATTAATATGAAGCTTTTGAAAGGCGTGCATAAAAACTGTTAAATCATAATTTCTTTTATAAGCTAAGCAGAAAACTCAGTTCTGATTGCTGATTATTTCAACAGCCTGACCTTTTAACCTGCAGCTTCCCTTTGTTGCGGATGAAGCGGATGCTGTAGACTCTCTGCATGGCGGCCGGCAGGTAAGACAGCACGTCTGAGTCTGTGGCAAGTCTGGGTAGCCCGAGGTTGGGCAGTGGCGTGAAACTGCGGCACAGCGGGCACTGGATAGCGTTGGGCTGAGCTGACTTGACGTTGATGCGTGCCAGGCACTCCAGGCAGAACGTGTGCTTGCACTGAAGCATCTTGGGACAGCGGAAGATGTTGTTGAACTGGCTGAAGCAGATGGAGCACTCCAGGTCCGGGCATGTCTCCTCAGAGCACTGAGACTGGAGAGGAGACGGGCGGAGGTCTGGAGACGGGATGATGATGGACACCTGGCAGGAGGGCGGTGTTGCGGGGGCAGGGTAAGGGTTCAGTCCAGGAGATTGAGCTGGAGACGACGCTGGAGTTGGGCTCGATCTCAGGCTGAAGGCTGGATCTGACGCTGGGAGTGGAGAGGCAGAGTGGTCTGGAGATGGGACCAAGTGCTGACCTCCATCTTGGCCTGATGAGGCCTGATGGGAAGGGGAGTTGTGGTTCAAAACTGTCAGGTAGCTATGTCGTGTCTGAATGACTGGAGGAGCCAGTACGGTGGCTGACAGAGATGGATTATGGGAATTATCATGAGGGTCAGGAGGTAAATATGGAGGCGGTAAAGAGCCAGGAGCATTGACATCCTCATGTGGAAGAGACTTAAAGTGTGTGTCTGCGTAGGGATTCATGACTGCCGGACAGACGGATGGAGGGGTGGTGTTGTGAAAGAAAGGGAGAGTGAAGCTCCGAGGAGATGAACAGATGGAGGTTGTTGAGCCTTCAATAGTCAGCAGGGACAGGAGGCATCAGACACACGGAGTATGGAGGGATCATGAAGAACTGATGACACTCTTTATACAGCCTCAAAACTCAGATCTATGGATGAAAAGACATTATCACACACACACAGCGAACCGTCAGTATTAAATATTCATACAGACCTGGAAACCAAATAGTGGCATTTTATCAGAAAATATGCCCAAAAGTATGTGGACACCCGTGTCTGTTTTTTTTTTTTCCTGAATTGGTCTAGGTCACTTAAATCTAAATGCTACAGATATTGTACACACTTTTTTAGGTGGAAGAATTTGACTGGCCTGCACAGAGCCCTGACCTCAACACCATCCAATGCCTTTGGAACTGGACTGAGTCGGACCTCATCACCCAACGTCAGAGTGGGAGCAAATCCCTGCAGCCAGGTTCCAAATCTGGTGGAAAGACCAGACTGCCGACAAATAAATAACAGGTTTTGGGAAGAGTATATGAAAATCACATTTTCCCCCTTTTCTAGTAATACTCAAACTAAGTAAAGCCTTTCAAAAAAATCTAAGTATTTAAAATGCTCCAAAAAAGCTCCACATAAACCTCTAATCCTGCAAGACCCACTACAGGCTCTGAACTTCACAACCTCATGCAGCTTGTCCATTAATTCATTTTAAATTCTAGAGATCCCAAGGTTCCCAAAGACACTAAAAGTCTGTCTGAAATTTATAAAATGACACAAGACATGGAATATGTTTTCCCCAAAGCCGTAAAAGAAACCTAACAGCAAATCTATAAAAAAAAAAAAATTTAAAAAAGAGACACTACGTACCTCCAGTTACTGAGAACTGCAGTCGTTACAAACACATTGCTCTTGGTTCTGTTTGTGTTAGTGTAGGTAAAAACTGGATGCTGGTCTAAGTCTCTATGAGAAACACTGCACAACACAACTGGATTCATGTTCCTGGCTCGCAGGCGTCAACAGAAATGAGATTTGCATTGTCCGTTTTATTTTAAAAAAAGCAAATAACATGCAAAACAGACTGGCCTTCTGTTGTGACGCTCACAACAGGGATCACCACAACTCTTAACCCAAGTAGACATTTAGAAAGACCATCTGTACTGCAATATTTACCACCTCTCACTCTGTCCTCTTAACAGACACACTGACATTTGCTGTTCAGAGTTTTGCTGAGGTCATGGAGGCAGACGCCATGTTCCCAACTTCACTACAATTAAAGTGAATCAGCCTGTCTGTATTACAGGGACACATACAGTTGAGGATTTCATTTACCATGCATTCAAGTAAAAACCTGAAGCTTAAATCAGAAAATACCAGAGCTGAATCAGGTTACAGATATACAGGATACTGAACATCTCTTTGGCTTTTGTAATGGATCATACACTGTGGGGATTTCTGAATCCACATGGATTAACACAATCCAGTTTGCACAACCAGGCTGACATATCTGTAGTGGGATTTGAATCTGGTAGATTAGATTAGGTTTGATAACACTTTCGTTCCTGAAACAGGTTTTTAGGAGACTTAGGACACTCCCAAACTTCCACAGCTTGTAAATACAGTCACAGAATAGAATCAATCATCAGACTAAACATTGCAATATAGGTGCATCCTCAACTGGAACTACTACAGTCATCATTAGTCTCCCATAGGTAGGCCTAAGGGAGGAGCAGTTGCAGTGTGTACCTTTATCATGGCTTGCCTTTTTGTTAACGTTAAGCGTTGCTTTGTTGGTAACTAATTAAGCCGAATTTACCTTAAGACCCTTTTGATTTGTAATTTGTATTTTACAACTCAGTTGCCTTTGCACATAAACAGGAAACAAAACCATGACATTCATGAATGAAGTTTGGCGCACGACCAGAGAACGACTGCTCTTACTGTTTAATCCACCGCTGACTGGTGTCCTCTCTCTTCCCACACTGCACCACCAGCAGCTGGGCTCCTCACACAGATCCTCCTGGAGCTCAGGTTTATCTGCCCGGGCCGTGTGCTTGTCTTCTGGGCTCGGCTTCTCCCTTTCTCTCTGCCTTGCGGTCCATCGTGACTCGTCAATTTTGAACAGCTGAATGAAAATGAGGAAACGGATTAGTCAAATCAGCTGCAGGCCTCACACTTTCCTGGCTGTGTTTGAAGGTTAACACCTGAAGGAAGTGATGCTGATTGGCTCTCCATTGCTCTGAGACACTGGATGTTGAAGCTGGTGTTAGCCAGATGGGAGAAATGAACTGGGGCACCAGGGCAAGTGACTGAGGTCTGATAGGGGTTCACAAAATACCTGTGTTCTTTAAACAAGCAAATTTATGCTATTGAATCTGTTTATCCCAATTGTCCATTCATGACATTTAACAGAATATTGGTTGCAGTGTTTATTGTTAATCTTTGGAGCATGTTTAGGTCAGTGCTTTGAGCAATTTGTTGTTTTGTGCCATCATTTTGGTAAAAGTAAAATTCAGAGTTATTCCCCATCACTCAGTAGATAAGTGTAGCAGAGCCTTTCCAGTGAACTAATATGCACCGCAGTAACCTGACTCTGTTTGACCTGAATGGAACAGTACATTTTGTTATCATTGGTAAAACGTGATTTTAGCCTACTAGGCCTGTTTCATGTGGAAATGTTCTATTGGACACAATGGATATGGATTAATGGATTTTGGTTCTTGTCGATAAAGGATTTAACACCTCCAGCACATAGGCCTGTGTTCTATGATATATGTTTGTATGATGGAGTTACAGGATTACTGTACCTATGTTAAGTAAGAATGTAAAGTAATCAGCAGTATATGTGTCAGGCTAGGGAGCCTGACACATATTCCTGGTTAATAAGCCTTAGTTAATGTTAAACATTAATTTGTTAACTGTGCAGTGTCCTGCCCACTAGGAAAGGTTGTCCCAGGTGAGTTTGGCATCAGTGCAGTTTGTGATTTCACTGTCTGTGGCAGCAAATAGGATCTTACCGGGTGAGTAGACAGGACTGAAATATATGTTCGAATTCAGAAATTCAAATGTGTTTAATTTTTAGAAAGACAACATTGTCAAACGGAGCAGTAAAAGCTGCTTGTTTCTAATTCTCAGGTGTATGCTGACTATTCAGACCTGGTGAATATAGCTGGATAAGAACTATTTCTAGTTACTGAAAAGGATATCTTTTGTGTTTTCAGAAATCCATGATGGAAGACCTACAACCCTTGACAGCAGCAGCCACCCCAGGTAAGTAATGACATGAAAGTGAATTGTTTGAATAATATGTTTTAACTTTTGGTGAATTATAAAAAAGAAATGAATACCCAATGCAGTACAGTTTGTCACAAAGGTCGTGTCCACTGTTGATACTGAGGAACTTATTAGTTACTGATTGGTCTGATGTTCAGACTAAAGGTGAACAAGGAAGTTATCTTGTGATACAACTATAAAACAAGATTAAAATTGCAAGTTTATAACCATTGATACCACATTAACTTTTCACTATACCATAAGATTAAGATTGCGCGCTTCTGAAAGGAAACCCAAATATCTGTTTTTAGTTCAACTGAATAGTTTTTTGTCTGAGATCAATGCAATGTTCTAATCTAATATCTAAATCCTTCTGCTACAACAGATCTGGGAAATACACACAACGAACCCTCTCGGACTGATTTAGTTTAAAGACAGTACTTTCTAGTTCTTTTTTTTTTATTATTATTATTTATCTGCATCTGCAATTGATTTTGGGTGTGGTGTACCTAAAATGTGGTTTCTGTGCTCTTACAGCTCAAGATGTAGAGCACCTTAAGTCCCGCGACAGCATGAGACTACCACCTGCGAGTGAGTAAAATTAACTGAGACAGAACTGTTCTAATGATTTGTAGGTAGACACAAAGACTAAGATCTGATGAATTTACCCAATTTTGCAAGATCAAAGAGTAGTTTGTGTCTTTCATGGCTACAAGATTTTGACCAATTCTGGTCTTAGACAGCGGACAACAGACTGACCTCAGTCAAGTTTCATACATAGTGTACACAGCCCACAGTGGGCTTTTCTAATTCAGTTTTTTTTTTTTAATTTCAGTGTCTGAGGTAGTTGTTTCATCCATAAGGTCTGGGTCTGACCACGTCAAACCAGCCTTAAACCTGGTTCTGTGTGGAAGGAGAGGAGCAGGGAAGACTTCAGCAGCCAAGGCCATTTTGGGTCTGACAGAGCTTCATTCAGCTGCCAACTCATGTGTTAAAAATCAGGGAGAGGTGTGTGGACGTCGGGTTTCTGTGGTGGAGCTGCCTGCCTTGTATGGAAAACCTCAGGACACAGTGATGAAGGAATCATTAAAGTCTATGACCCTCTGTAAGGGCGTCCATGCCTTCATCCTCGTCCTACCAGTAGGTTCCCTCACTGATGAAGACAAGGGAGAGTTAGAGACCATCAAGAGCACATTCACCACTAAAGTGAATGACTTCACCATGATTCTGTTCACTGTGGAGTCAGATCATACAGATCCAGCTGTTGATACATTTCTGAAGGAAAACAAGGGCATCCAGGAGCTCTGCAAGAGCTGTGGAGGAAGATATGGTGTTCTCAACATCAAGGACAAGCAGCAGATCCCTCAACTGTTGGATTATGTGGAAAAGATGGGCGTTGCCAATTCCAGATGCTTCACAAAGGACTTGTTCACCAGGGCTCAGATGGAGAAACGTGTAGAGCAGGAATACGTTAATGCAAGACTTAAAGCTGAACTGCAGGAAGTTAAACAGAGGAATGAGATTGGAATTGACAAAAATCCAAGCAGAGAGTGTCTCAGGATGGTGCTGATTGGGAAGACTGGCAGCGGGAAGAATTCAACAGCAAACACCATTTTGGGCAAAAAACATTTTAAACCCAGAATTGTCCCAAAGCCAGCAAACACGTCTTGTGAGAAAGCAAAAGGAGAGATTGATGGCCGACCCGTTCTTGTAGTAAACACCCCCGGCTTGTTGGACACACCTCTGACCAATGAAGAAATTCAACAGGAGCTTCTCAAATGCATCAGCATGTTGGCTCCTGGACCTCATGCGTTCATATTAGTGCTGCAAATGGGAAACATAAAAAAAGAAGAAATAGACTCTGTGGAACTGATCAAAAAGGTTTTTGGCAAGAAGTCAGGAGACTTCATCATCGTCATATTCACCAGAGGAGATGCTCTGGACGATCGGTCAGTTGATAGTTACATCGAAGATTGTGACGACTTTGTCAAACAACTCATCAAGGACTGTGGAAACCGATTCCATGTCTTTAATAACAAAGATCACACAGACCGCACACAAGTCAGAGAGCTGGTGAACAAGATCGAGGACATGGTGAAGGAAAATGGTGGCAGCTGCTACGACACTGAGCTGTTGGAAAGGGAAGTTGTGGAAAAGGAACAGATGGAGTCACTGAGTGTCAACACAAGACAACATGAAGAAATGAAACAGGTGATCGGTGAACTAAAGGCAACAATATCTAAATTGGAACAAGGGGAACATAATCGCCTAAAACTGGAGGAATTAAAAAAACGGATAGAAGAAATGGAAGAAAAGAAACAGAAACATGGAGAAAAATCCCAATGCTTCATCCTTTGAGTCCACCTCTTTGAGAAACAAATTTTAATGTTTCTGATTTATTTTACTACTCACATTGTCAGTGTTTTTTTGCCGACTCTGCAAGTTTTACTGCCAGATCACTACCAAAGACATTTAACATTTTAAAAAAAAAGGCCTTTTATATTCTCTGCCAGTTGAACTGGACTCTGGATAAGAGCTGTCTCCAAAGGGGGTAATAATTGATATTTAGCCCTGGTAAAAGACTGCTTTTAGTAGCGCCGTGAATCAAAACATGATGTGATCTTACCTCATGCCACAGAACGTTCCTCAATGAATTTAACTGGGTGGAACCCGGACAATTATTTTATACATTTTCAGATTAAAAGTGTAAAAGTTTTAAATGAATCAAAGTTTTGAGATTTTACTGCTTAATGACTTTTTACACCTGTTATTTAGTCACTGCTTTTTGTTTTTTATTATTTCAGCACACACTTGTAAACTAACACACTGGTAAAATCTATAATCTAATGTTAAAATACAAAATGTCAAAGTGGACTCACAGTACATCAGAGAGACTTGGGCAGATAGAGGTACATTTATTTTACACAAATATTTTCTCCAACTAGGTTTGGCCAGTGTTTAAACGCGGAGGTTATACATGCTGAATTCACCTACCAGAAATTTTGACATTGCTGTTCATGTATCATGTTGAAATTTTCCACCAGGAAATTAACAGAATAAATTTAATGGATCCAATTTAGGCAGGGTGGTTTGATTTCATAGGCTAATCATTTTGCACTGATGTTCTTTAAAGACCATTAAAAACCATAAACTTTGTTGGACTCCTGTCTTTAGTTATTGTGTGTTGCCTTGCCAGCTTATTTTACCCCATCCTACTAGTATTAGTTACCTTTAGTTTATTTACACTTTCTCATTATGTCCTGTCTGCAATTTGGTCCACCTTTTGAACCGTAACATTTTCCTGTAAGAGTGAAGGGTGTTAATCTCAATGGTTTTGAAGTGAGATGTTCAGTCACACATGGGTGTAAGGTTATGGTGTCCAATTAAATTTATAAATATATCAAAAAAAAAAGCACAAATCTATCCATCTATCTATAAAGCAAGGAATCTGTGTGTGTGTGTGGCTCAAATATCTCTGCAGATCAGGATCAGACTGACCTGAGAGTTTCAACATGGCAGCTGTGTGGTTTAAGGGTGTGAAACGTCGGCTTTGTTTGGACTATAAAGATACAGTTAATAAATTATTTCATAAATTATTTGGAATTTCGCTAGCATTACCATAGCGACCATAGCCACGTGCACACCAGAGCCAATCACTGAGAGCCTAATGTGTAGTGATTAAAACCTCCCCCCCCAAAAAAAATTAAAAAAAAAAAAAAAAAAATTTAAACAAAAAAATAAAAATAAACACCAACAATAAACTCAACCCCTCTCTCCCCCCCCCAAAAAAAAAAAAAAAAAAATTTTTAAAAAAAAAAATCGCGGTGATTTTTGGTCACAAACACTCCGTGAGTTTTTCGCCAGTGACAGACGCTGTTTTTCGGGCAGAAATGTGACGAAGAGTCGGTAGGACAGGCAGGAGGACAGGCAGGAGGACAGACGCTTCTCCACATACAGCTGTGGTATTTTTTTTCTCATGTAAGTTTCCAAAGACAGTTAGTTACTGTTGTTTGGTCCTGTAACGTTGCTTTGTGGGACATTTCTCTTTATTAAGTTGAGTGAGAGACCTGTGCAGTTATCAGACTGACAGAGCAGAAAGGTAAAGTATATATTATTTCTAAAAATAAATGTCAAGATTCTGGCCCATGTGTCCTGCAAATGCTATGTCCTCAACTCACCTGAACCATCATAATCGCTCCATAATGTGTTTGAGGAGGAAAAAAAGACTCATGTTTCATAAACCGATTTATAAAGTACAAAATTGTAAATAAAAATCTGTCACAGTGAAAGGGTGTGAACATTAACAGAACTGTAATAAGTATGCCACAGGAACAGCACCCCCAAAACACTGAAAAACATAGTCAAAACTTTACAAACCTTGGGACAGTACTCATCTTAAACTTAACTTTCCACTAGACTTGAAACTAAAATGTGCTTATACTAATATGCCACACGTAATTACTGCAGTAATGCAATACAGTGTTACATTCACAAAAAGCATCAGCCCTTGTGAAGGTGTGACTAGTAGTGATCTATGTGGGAGTCCTGGGTGAAATCTACAGAATATGTTAAAGTTAAAGTGCCACATGTCAATAATCAATCACTCATTAATTCAAATGAGTTGCCTTTCATTCAGCATCGTCTTTCATCACAGCTGCTTGTGCTGTGACCTGAGCAGTTTGCTTGTGGCAGTAACTGGTGCAGCTCAAAGGAAAAAGAGCTTGTCCGACAGCTGGATGGCCGGCTCCGAGTGCAGGTACTGGCCAGACAGGTAAGCCAGTTTGTGGGCATACTTGCACGGTGCTGGAACACGAATGGTGCCTGGCCAGTTCCAGTACAAATGGCACATCTTGAAAGTCAGCCTGTTGTGGGAGCAGAGCAACAATGTTAAATGTGACTCAATAAACATCAACGTTAAAGTATTTTACCATTCTCATTATCCCGAATGCAGGTGGATACAGCGAGGTCCATGTCTGATACCAGATGCTGAATAAATGAATATGGTCTTTTTATGTGTTGTTTTTCACCACTTCAATGAACTTCAATAAAAAAAACTTTAATAAAGTACTGTTCTGCTGAAGAAACGTTTATTAGCTGGTTAAAAAAAACATCACCAATTACTGATAGCATAGAATTAACAACGGTTTTAAATGTGCACCAGTAACCAGAACGATGCTAAGTGGTTATTAATACCTTTGCAAATGGTCTGGTGTGAGGTTTGCTGTGTTGTACAACGAGACGTAGTGGGTAGGGAGTCCACAACCCTGGCGGATGTGATGTGCCATCAGGTAGAAGTCCACCCTGAATAAAAAAAACACCCTTTGGCATTAGAAACTAAGAACCAGTAGCAGTTACACTGAGTCTCTGCTGGTCTACTCATCATCATGTACATATTTACTACTGTTGCCAGGAGATGGTGCTGCAGCCTTTTTGATGTACGCAAGTAAACAAGATAAAAACCAGTGGCCCTCTTCCAGTATCCCTCTGGCCTGCTCATACAGCACTGGAACTATCTACTTCCTTTATTTAAGAATGATATTTTTGTTTTTTTATTTTTTTTTCCCTCTTCCTATATTACACTCAGACTGCACATTAATTGTATCACAAACTGGAAACACCATTGAGACAAAGAGGAAAAATTACTGGTCATTTTCCAGGGTTTTACATTTCTGCCTTTGAAACATTGTGTAACAGACAACAAGCTCAAAAGGAGGTTCTATTGACAACTCATTCACTTGTAGGTAGACTGACCAGTCTCTCTGGGTGAGGGTGTGATCCAGAACAGTTCCAGGTGGAGGTGTGCCAAAGTTGTTTGCATTACAGGAGTAGAGGGTGGTGCTTATGCGCTTCTGGACTACAATGAAGACCAGCTTGGGCTCATAGCTGGGGAAAGTCTCAAAGCATTTGATCAACTGTGGGATCTCATACGCACTTTTTTTGGGGGGTATTGGCTTACAGCACATTTTATGTATTGTATGTTACCTCGTAGTATTTCAGCCAGAAAGCAAACTCTGAAGCCATTGATCAGCTCCTCAGTGGGTGTCTGGAAAGTAACTCTTGTAGGGGATACACTACTTTTTCATTATAAAGGTAATTAATCACTGATGATTAATAATACACTCGTAAATGGGGCACCACCTCCGTTGTTTAGCTACTGGAATAATCCGGAGGAAATTATTCCACAGATCTAATCAATCTCAGATCAATTTACTAAATTTCAAAATCTATATTTAATCTCATATTTCTGAAGTAGTGATTTCTTTTACACGATTCATCGATTTCCCCGCATCAATTCAAACCTGCACCGACAAGGACATACGGTTATATATGTTTATTAACTAAACTAATGCAGAGTAAAGAGCATGAAATGATAAACAACAAGTAACAGAATATGTGGACAATATATGAATTATTACTATTAGGTGATTCAGGAGCGATGGTGGATTTTGCGATGCGGCAGTAAGTTTAATATATTACGAGAGTCAATTTTAGAACTGAGAGGCCCTAATCCAAAATTCTCTTAAACGTAAAAGATGGGAATCAAAGCTTACAGACAGACACCAGCTCTTTTTCATGTGTGTGAATCCGGCTGTGTACTGGAGAGTCAGCCTACTTTGTTTGTAGATGGAACTTGGAAGGATTCCAGGTCCTTGGCTTTCAGCTCAACTGCGGCTTTGCGTCACTGGTCCAACAGGCTGAGGGAAGTTGCGTCTCGTCCCTGGTTCCAGTGGCAATCTCTCCAAAAGGCCCAGCGCGGCGTGTGCGCTAGTGAGCGTTGGGGGCAACAATAATGTCTTTATTCGGCTGGAAACGTTTGTACGTCTTCTTGAGCAGTCAACTACTTGTTTTTGGCGGTGGTTGGTGTTTGACGCAGTTGTTTAAAAATAAGGACGATCCTTCTGGCTGATGATGAATGTCTTAGAGTGGTTGGTCTTCAGCTTTGACTGTAAACTAATTCAGCTTCTTGTTTAAAAATAACTAGAGGATGAAATCTGTTAATTAGGAGGAGTTGAAATTTTACCATAATACTCCAACAGAACTAAATCTATATCTGTGCAACTGTTGTTACTGCTTCCTAGATTGGAATGTCCACTATCAACAGAAAACATCGTAATTTCCACTTTAGAGGAAGGGGTGTCAGAATGCCAGATGTGGATTCCAGAGGAGTTTCTCTCTGGAGGTGGACCGGTCAGACTAAAAGAGATGTAAACACATTTCAGGGATATCTAACCCTGATTTACAATCAAAAAGGCACTTAATTATCACACACGATCCACTTTAGGTGTAGGGTGTCGTTCTGATCTGTGGAGAAGTCAGTGTTCTGTTAAAGAGGATAAAACATATTGACACCTTAGAGATCCCATCTGAGAATCTGAAAAGAACCAGGCTCTCTGTGCAGGAGACTGTCGGCGCCACAGTCTCACCTCCCCTCCTGGGTCAAAAAGGTCAAAGGGAAAGAGGAGGCCTTGAAAACTCTCCTGGTGGAACAAAATCAAAATAATGTGATGATTTTTGAATTAAGAGACAGATAAAGCATCTCTTGTAGAGGAAGACGAGGACAAGGTCCTACACTCTGGAGTACCAGCGGGTCAGTGAGCTGGAAAAGGAAAAAACAAATGCATTTCCATTAAGACTGAAGTACCACAGGTGCTGCATGAGAAAAGGTGAAATACACGGTGGCTCTCTAAAACACAAACAAATAGCTACTGAGAAAATATTAAATCCAAACAACCAAAACTGTGAGGAAAAAAACACTTTACCTGTTCACACTTGCGACAAAGCCCATGACTGACTGATGTGCCTTGCTGGTGTCATGGTGGACATCAACTCCCACCACCATCAAGTGTTTCTATTCAAGTGAGATAGATTCATTATTTCTCCACTGACTGCAGTGATGTTTTAATTTAATATTATTCACATGAATATTTCTGTAATGCTGTTCCAATAATACTGTGGCTTTCATCTGAATGATCATCGTTATCACAAGATACTGTTAAATACTTCATGCTTCATGAACCGTAATGTACCTACAACATTATTGGACAGAAAAATCACAATTAAGATGATATTCCCCACCTCATCCAACTGTCTCGTCCCAATAGATAGACCAGGGAACGACTGCTCTTACTGTTTAATCCAACGCTGACTGGTGTCCTCTCTCTTCCCACACTGCACCACCAGCAGCTGGGCTCCTCACACAGATCCTCCTGGAGCTCAGGTTTATCTGCCCGGGCCATGTGCTTGTCTTCTGGGCTCGGCTTCTCCCTTTCTCTCTGCCTTGCGGTCCATCGTGACTCGTCAATTTTGAACAGCTGAATGAAAATGAGGAAACGGATTAGTCAAATCAGCTGCAGGCCTCACACTTTCCTGGCTGTGTTTGAAGGTTAACACCTGAAGGAAGTGATGCTGATTAGCTCTCCATTCCTCTGAGACGCTGGATGTTGAAGCTGATCCAAAGTAAGGGTGCTAGCCAGATGGGAGAAATGATTTGGGGCACCAGTGAAAGTGACTGAGGTCTAATAGGGGTTCACAAAATACCTGGGTTCTCTAAACACTGACACAAATGCATAATGCTATTGAATCTGTTTATGCCAATTGTCCATTCATGACAATAGAATATTGGTAGGCCTACACATGTGTCTTTGTGCTCTCGTGTTGGTAATTACCCAATATATTTCAGTGTAGCAGTCTTTCCAATGAGCCAACATGCACAGCAGCACCCTGACTCTGTTTGACCTGAATGGAACAGAACTAGTAACACTGATAACACATGCATTTGCCCTACTAGGCCTGTTTCATGTTTGATTGGACTGGCTACACTACCTTGAGTAAACATTGGGCGGCTGTGTCATTTAGGTAAATACAGAATGAGTGATACAAAACTTTGAATTGGAAGTCCAGTCTTTCTCGTCATTAAAGGATTTTATGCCTTCAGCTGACAGTAGGTCTGTGTTCTATGATGGATGTTTGCAAGATGGAGGTACAGGATTATTGTATGTTAAGTAAGAATGTAAAGTACTGAACAGTATATGTATGATGATTCCCAGTTAAAGGTGTTTAATGTTAAACATTAACTTATCTGGTGCAATGCCTGTGTCCTGCCCACTCTGTAATTAATGTTGCACAATGTTTGCACTGGAATGTGAAAGGGAAAGGTGTCTCAAGTGAGTTCAGTGCAGAGTTTGTGATTTCACCAAAGTGCGTGGCAGCAAATCGGATCTTACCTGGTGAGTAGACAGGACTGAAATATACGTTTGAATTCAGAAATTCAAATGTGTTTAATTGTTAGAAAGACAACATTGTCAGACTGAGCAGTAAAAGCAGCTTGTTTCTAATTCTCAGGTGTATGCTGACTTTTCAGACCTGGTGAATATAGCTGGATAAGAACTATTTCTAGTTACTGAAAAGAATATCTTATGTTTTCAAAAATCCATGATGGAAGACCTACAACCCTTGACAGCAGCAGCCACTCCAAGTAAGTAATGACATGGAAGTGAATTTTTTGAATAATATGTTTTTACTTTACTTTTTTAATTTTTGGTGAATTATGAGTTAAATTGTCTTGTGATACAACTATAAAACCCGATTAAAATTGCAAGTTTATCACCATTTATGACACATAAACTTTTCACTATACCATAAGATTAAGATTGCACGCTTCTGAAAGGAAACCCAAATATCTTTTTTTACTTTATATGCAGGACTTTGAAAAAGTTCATAAACTGAGTTCAACTGAATTGAATAGTTTTTGTCTTAGATCAATGCAATGTTTGTGATTACATTATTCTATTATGAACTCAAGAACCTTTTCTAAAATTAAATTAAAAAATCGTGGCAGACCTTGTGTCATAAAAAAGCTGAATTATTCCAATGATTTAGAGTAATTTATATCCAAATCCTTCTGCTACAACAGATCTGGGAAATACACACAACGAACCCACTCGGACTGATTTAGTTTACATACAGTACTTTCTAGTTCTGCACAAAAAATTATGTCTTTTTTAAATAATTTTTCTGCATCTGCAATTGATTTTGGGTGTGGTGTACCTAAAATGTGGTTTCTGTGCTCTTACAGCTGAAGATGTAGAGCACCTGAAGTCTCACGACAGCATGAGACTACCACCTGAGAGTGAGTAAAATTTACTGAGACAGAACTGTTCTAATGATTTGTAGGTAGACACACAGACTAAGATCTGATGATTTTCCCCAATCTGTAAGATCAAAGAGTAGTTTGTGTCTTTCGTGGCTACAAGATTTTGACCAATTCTGGTCTTAGACAGCGGACAACAGACTGACCTCAGTCAAGTTTCATACATAGTGTATTGCTTCTTGGATAAGGGCTGTCCACAGTGGGCTTTCCTAATTCAGTTTTCTTTTTTTAATTTCAGTGTCTGAGGTAGTTGTTTCATCCATAAGGTCTGGGTCTGACCACATCAAACCAGCCTTAAACCTGGTTCTGTGTGGAAGGAGAGGAGCAGGGAAGACTTCAGCAGCCAAGGCCATTTTGAGTCTGACAGAGCTTCATTCAGCTGCCAACTCATGTGTTAAAAATCAGGGAGAGGTGTGTGGACATTGGGTTTCTGTGGTGGAGCTGCCTGCCTTGTATGGAAAACCTCAGGACACAGTGATGAAGGAATCATTAAAGTCTATGACCCTCTGTAAGGGCGTCCATGCCTTCATCCTCGTCCTACCAGTAGGTTCCCTCACTGATGAAGACAAGGGAGAGTTAGAGACCATCAAGAGCACATTCACCACTACAGTGAATGACTTCACTATGATTCTGTTCACTGTGGAGTCAGATCATACAGATCCAGCTGTTGATACATTTCTGAAGGAAAACAAGGGCATCCAGGAGCTCTGCAAGAGCTGTGGAGGAAGATATATTGTTCTCAACATCAAGGACAAGCAGCAGATCCCACAACTGTTGGATTATGTGGAAAAGATGAGCGTTGCCAATTCCAGATGCTTCACAAAGGACTTGTTCACCAGGGCTCAGATGGAGAAACGTGTAGAGCAGGAATACGTTAATGCAAGACTTAAAGCTGAACTGCATGAAGTTAAACAGAGGAATGAGATTGGAATTGACGAAAATCCAAGCAGAGAGTGTCTCAGGATGGTGCTGATTGGGAAGACTGGCAGCGGGAAGAATTCAACAGCAAACACCATTTTGGGCAAAAAACATTTTAAACCCAGAATTGTCCCAAAGCCAGCAAACACGTCTTGTGAGAAAGCAAAAGGAGAGATTGATGGCCGACCCGTTCTTGTAGTAAACACCCCCGGCTTGTTGGACACACCTCTGACCAATGAAGAAATTCAACAGGAGCTTCTCAAATGCATCAGCATGTTGGCTCCTGGACCTCATGCGTTCATATTAGTGCTGCAAATGGGAAACATAAGAAAAGAAGAAACAGACTCTGTGGAACTGATCAAAAAGGTTTTTGGCAAGAAGTCAGGAGACTTCATCATCGTCATATTCACCAGAGGAGATGCTCTGGACGATCGGTCAGTTGATAGTTACATCGAAGATTGTGACGACTTTGTCAAACAACTCATCAAGGACTGTGGAAACCGATTCCATGTCTTTAATAACAAAGATCACACAGACCGCACACAAGTCAGAGAGCTGGTGAACAAGATCGAGGACATGGTGAAGGAAAATGGTGGCAGCTGCTACGACACTGAGCTGTTGGAAAGGGAAGTTATGGAAAAGGAACAGATGGAGTCACTGAGTGTCAACACAAGCCAACATGAAGAAATGAAACAGGTGATTAGTGAACTAAAGGCAACAATATCTAAATTGGAACAAGGGGAACATAATCGCCTAAAACTGGAGGAGGAATTAAAAAAACGGATAGAAGAAATGGAAGAAAAGAAACGGAAACATGGAGAAAAATCCCAATGCTTCATCCTTTGAGTCCACCTCTTTGAGAAACAAATTTTAATGTTTCTGATTTATTTTACTACTCACATTGTCAGTGTTTTAGTTTTACTAAGTTTTACTGCCAGATCACTACCAAAGACATTTAACATTTTTTTAAAAAAAGGCCTTTTATATTCTCTGCCAGTTGAACTGGACTCTGGATAAGAGCTGTCTCCAAAGGGGGTAATAATTGATATTTAGCCCTGGTAAAAGACTGCTTTTAGTAGCGCCGTGAATCAAAACACGATGTGATCTTACCTCATGCCACAGAACGTTCCTCAATGAATTTAACTGGGTGGAACCCGGACAATTATTTTATACATTTTCAGATTAAAAGTGTAAAAGTTTTAAATGAATCAAAGTTTTGAGATTTTACTGCTTAATGACTTTTTACACCTGTTATTTAGTCACTGCTTTTTGTTTTTTATTATTTCAGCACACACTTGTAAACTAACACACTGGTAAAATCTATAATCTAATGTTAAAATACAAAATATCAAAGTGGACTCTCACAGTACATCAGAGAGACTTGGGCAGATAGAGGTACATTTATTTTACACAAATATTTTCTCCAACTAGGTTTGGCCAGTGTTTAAACGCGGAGGTTATACATGCTGAATTCACCTACCAGAAATTTTGACATTGCTGTTCATGTATCATGTTGAAATTTTCCACCAGGAAATTAACAGTATAAATTTAATGTATCCAATTTAGGCAGGGTGGTTTGATTTCATAGGCTAATCATTTTGCACTGATGTTCTTTAAAGACCATTAAAAACCATAAACTTTGTTGGACTCCTGTCTTTAGTTATTGTGTGTTGCCTTGCCAGCTTATTTTACCCCATCCTACTAGTATTAGTTACCTTTAGTTTATTTACACTTTCTCATTATGTCCTGTCTGCAATTTGGTCCATCTTTTGAACCGTAACATTTTCCTATAAGAGTGAAGGGTGTTAATCTCAATGGTTTTGAAGTGAGATGTTCAGTCACACATGGGTGTAAGGCTATGGTGTCCAATTAAATTTATAAATATATTAAATATGTCAGAAAAGCACAAATCTATCAATCTATCTATCTATAAAGCAAGGAATCTCTGTCTGTCTGTCTGTCTGTCTGTCTCTCTCTGTGTGTGTGTGTGTGTGTGGCTCAAATATCTCTGCAGATCAGGATCAGACTGACCTGAGAGTTTCAACATGGCAGCTGTGTGGTTTAAGGGTGTGAAACGTCGGCTTTGTTTGGACTACAAAGATACAGTTAATAAATTATTTCATAAATTATTTGGAATTCCGCTAGCATTACCATAGCGACCATAGCCACGTGCACACCAGAGCCAATCACTGCAGAGCCCTAATGTGTAGTGATTGAGATCCTGACCCACCAAACATCCTGGAAAGTGACAAAGTTACGTATTTCCCTCTAAATTCCATATACACAATCACCAGCAGTAAACTGGACGCTGTCTCACTGCCTCACTCGCAAGACGGAGAATGTTTTCCGGTGGAAAGTAAACTGATGTCTCGGTCCGGAGGGCTGATGGTCGCGGTGATTTTTGGTCACAAACACTCCGTGAGTTTTTCGCCGGTGACAGACGCTGTTTTTCGGGCAGAAATGTGACGAAGAGTCGGTAGGACAGGCAGGAGGACAGACGCTTCTCCACGTACAGCTGTGGTATTTTATTTCCTCATGTAAGTTTCCAAAGACAGTTACAGTTACTACGTTACTGTTGTTTGGTCCTGTAACGTTGCTTTGTGGGACATTTCTCTTTATTAAGTTGAGTGAGAGACCTGTGCAGTTATCAGACTGTCTGACCGACACGCCCTCGCTCCGCGCTGTCGGCTTATCCATTCACACTATTTTGATAGTTTCAAAACAATTTTTTGATGTGGAAACCCTTACTGCCATTGCTCTCTCTCTCTCTCTCTCTAATGTATGCTAGCCTATATTACAGGGCTGAATAATATGTCCTGCCCAGTTCATTTACTAGGCTATGCTACAAGTTAGTCTGTTTATGCTGCCAGGTTTCATCCCATTTCAGATGTAGTTCACTTTGTTCTTTCAGAGTTTATATGCGCTGACCATGAGGTGTGGTACTTTCACATTAGTGGAATGGGCTTCAACTCCCTACAGTGTCCTTGCTAAAAGACAAATTATATGAAAACAATAGTTATCAATCTACACATTTCACAACAAACCGAAATGTCCCTGACGTCCCACCTTCAAACACAACCTCATTTGGCCATCCATGAAAAAGCTACTTAACCTCCCACTTTTCTATAGCAATACATACTTCCTACGGGCACTGCACTAGTATTAATAATACAATAAATGAAGGCTGAATATAAATGCTTTAAAAGAAAGCTTATTGATTGAAGATGATCGCAGGGAACAGAGTGCCTTTAACATTACTGAAACTCTGTTCAGCCACAGGTTTTTTCCCTCAGGTACATAGCTGGGCACAAGTGATGTTAGTGTAAGGCAATCTCCTCTGCCATAAAATGTCTTCATCGCTTTAATTATGGTCCACCTTTGCTTCTTTAATTGACAAATAAAACATATCTAACCAGAGCAGAAAGGTAAAGTATATATTATTTCTAAAAATAAATGTCAAGATTCTGGTCCATGTGTCCTGCAAATGCTATGTCCTCAACTCACCTGAACCATCATAATCGCTCCATAATGTGTTTGAGGAGGAAAAAAAAGACTCATGTTTCATAAACCGATTTATAAAGTACAAAATTGTAAATAAAAATCTGTCACAGTGAAAGGGTGTGAACATTAACAGAACTGTAATAAGTATGCCACAGGAACAGCACCCCCAAAACACTGAAAAACATAGTCAAAACTTTACAAACCTTGGGTCAGTACTCATCTTAAACTTAACTTTCCACTAGACTTGAAACTAAAATGTGCTTATACTAATATGCCACACGTAATTACTGCAGTAATGCAATACAGTGTTACATTCACAAAAAGCATCAGCCCTTGTGAAGGTGTGACTAGTACTGATCTATGTGAGAGTCCTGGGTGAAATCTATAGAATACGTTAAAGTTAAAGTGCCACATGTCAATAATCAATCACTCATTAATTCAAATGAGTTGCCTTTCATTCAGCATCGTCTTTCATCACAGCTGCTTGTGCTGTGACCTGAGCAATTTGCTTGTGGCAGTAACTGGTGCAGCTCAAAGGAAAAAGAGCTTGTCCGACAGCTGGATGGCCGGCTCCGAGTGCAGGTACTGGCCAGACAGGTAAGCCAGTTTGTGGGCATACTTGCACGGTGCTGGAACACGAATGGTGCCTGGCCAGTTCCAGTACAAATGGCACATCTTGAAAGTCAGCCTGTTGTGGGACCAGAGCAACAATGTTAAATGTGACTCAACAAACATCAACGTTAAAGTATTTTACCATTCTCATTATCCCGAATGCAGGTGGATACAGCGAGGTCCATGTCTGACAAATACCAGATGCTGAATAAATGAATATGGTCTTTTTATATGTTGTTTTTCACCACTTCAATGAACTTCAATAAAAACTTTAAGAAAGTACTGTTCTGCTGAAGAAACATTTATTAGCTGGTTAAAAAAAACATCACCAATTACTGATAGCATCGAATTAACGAAGGTTTTAAATGTGCACCAGTAACCAGAACGATGCTAAGTGGTTATTAATACCTTTGCAAATGGTCTGGTGTGAGGTTTGCTGTGTTGTACAACGAGACGTAGTGGGTAGGGAGTCCACAACCCTGGCGGATGTGATGTGCCATCAGGTAGAAGTCCACCCTGAATAAAAAAAAAACACCCTTTGGCATTAGAAACTAAGAACCAGTAGCAGTTACACTGAGTCTCTGCTGGTCTACTCATCATCATGTACATATTTACTACTGTTGCCAGGAGATGGTGCTGCAGCCTTTTTGATGTACGCAAGTAAACAAGATAAAAACCAGTGGCCCTCTTCCAGTATCCCTCTGGCCTGCTCATACAGCACTGGAACTATCTACTTCCTTTATTTAAGAATGATATTTTTGTTTTTTTATTTTTTTTTCTCTTCCTATATTACACTCAGACTGCACATTAATTGTATCACAAACTGGAAACACCATTGAGACAAAGAGGAAAAATTACTGGTCATTTTCCAGGGTTTTACATTTCTGCCTTTGAAACATTGTGTAACAGACAACAAGCTTAAAAGGAGGTTCTATTGACAACTCATTCACTTGTAGGTAGACTGACCAGTCTCTCTGGGTGAGGGTGTGATCCAGAACAGTTCCAGGTGGAGGTGTGCCAAAGTTGTTTGCATTACAGGAGTAGAGGGTGGTGCTTATGCGCTTCTGGACTACAATGAAGACCAGCTTGGGCTCATAGCTGGGGAAAGTCTCAAAGCATTTGATCAACTGTGGGATCTCATACTGCTCCACCATCATCAGCTGACCGTCTGACACACCATCCCGATACACCACAATCTTCTCTGGCAAATTGTGGTTCACCTGCGCAAACAAATACATACACAGTTAGATATGGCTTATTTTATGAAGATGCTGATCCGAGATCACAGAATACAGAAGACAGGGGGGGGGTATTGGCTTACAACACATTTTATGTATTGTATGTTACCTCGTAGTATTTCTGCAGTGCAGCCAGAAAGCAAACTCTGAAGCCATTGATCAGCTCCTCAGTGGGTGTCTGGAAAGTAACTCTGGAGTACCAGCGGGTCAGTGAGCTGGAAAAGGAAAACACGAATACATTTCCATTAAGACTGAAGTACCACAGGTGCTGCATGAGAAAAGGTGAAATACACGGTGGCTCTCAAAAACACAAACAAATAGCTACCGAGAAAATATTAAATCCAAACAACCAAAACTGTGAGGAAAAAACACTTTACCTGTTGACACTTGCGACAAAGCCCATGACTGACTGATGTGCCTTGCTGGTGTCATGGTGGACATCAACTCCCACCACCATCAAGTGTTTCTATTCAAGTGAGATAGATTCATTATTTCTCCACTGACTGCAGTGATGTTTTAACTTAATATTATTCACATGAATATTTCTATAACGCTGTTCCAATAATACTGTGGCTTTCATCTGAATGATCATCGTTATCACAAGGTACTGTTAAATATTTCATGCTTCATGAACCGTAATGTACCCACAACATTATCAGACAGAAAAATCACAATTAAAATGATATTCCCCACCTCATCCAACTGTCTCGTCCCAGTAGATAAGGTGCTCTGCTTTTCTAAGACATGACACTCACCAGAGGGACACTGACAGTCCACAATTCTCCTCCTAACTTGCTGTTCATCTGCAGGAGTATCTTTTGGGCAACACTCTTCAGCTTCTGCTGCTGGGAAATTGTCCGCACATTGATGGCCTGACAACAAATAAGAAAAGACTGAATACTTTAGAAAATAATTCCAAGAAAAGCCATGCACAAACACTTGACAAACACTACAAACCTGGGATGGGATGGGACTTTTGACACAGCAGAGCTTCTTAATGGCACTGTAGAGATCCTCTCTGTTGCCGACCAGGATGCAAACTACGAGCTGCATATTGGGCTGTAAACACATAATGAAAATTTACCCAGGATGGATAGTAAACATTTCAACATGGTCAAACTTGTGCTGCTGTTTAAGTTTCTTTCTAGATATCATAAAGAGATGATCTTTCAGAGAAATATGGATAAAAAGGATATGGTGAATTTAGTCATATTGTGCATGGTATTCCAGCGCGCTGCCTGGAAAACCTATGAGCAGCAATGTCAGTTTGCAGTTAACATGCAAAATCATTCAGGGCTTGACAGTAAATGCTGCTTTGGTTGCCCAAGGCAACCAGAACAACCACTGTTATTTTGCAGTCTTGTTTCTCCAGCAACCACAGCAACACAGAGACAGAACAAAAGTTTTAAGATGCCAGTAACTATACAACTGCTATTCAGCAGTCACGTGGATTTGTTTGTGAATGCAGCGAGGACATTAATACAATGTCAGTAATACTACCTTGTAAGACTGACCTGTTGATTACTCCTGAACTACAACAGCTTGTGCTCTTTTGTACGGAGCAGCACAATAGACGGATATTAATGCACATGTGAAGGGACATATTAACAAGGCTGAAGCACCAAATGCTTAAATCCTGTATTTTCTATGACTGAGCATGGTCGCATATGTGCAGTGATAAACACTCCTATAGCATTAGTTTTTACTTTGAAGTAAAATTACATTATTTGAGTGTTTCCACAGACTCAGCTGAACAATGTCAGCATTAGTTTTTTTAAATAAACTACTTGTTAAGCTACTGATCTAAATGTCGTTACCTCACTGGTGAGCTGAGAGTGGATGGTCTTGACGTAAGTCTCAGTGCGATCATCCCTCAGCTCCACGCGAATGGGTCGCTCCAGTCGCACCCCAATAGGCCCGGCCACCTTTTTAAAGGTGGAAACCAGCTCCTCAGCCTGCTCTGCACAGCGCCGAGGGTAGAAGATGGCCCAGATATTCAGTGGGATCTAAGAGTAAGATGGGTCAGTTGGTGAAGAAATAAATGAATACAGCAGCCATTCCTGAAGCTGAGGCAAAATAACATCTGTAGTTATACGCTGATGCTTGAGGGCGGCAGACACAACACAGATACATACAGAGATTACTAGTATATCTACTGTGAAAGAAATGTCATAAGCAGGAGAGTGCTTCCTCAACTTTGTAAATGTAACAGCTGTATTATGTGAATGGAAAATTGAGGAGGGAGCACCAGAAATTTCTCCAACACTCACACAGCTGATAGAAGCATCCCTGACGATCTCTCTGGACCAAGATAGATCAGCACTGGTTGCAAAGGAGGAAGACTGCAGACAGATGGTTTCAACAGGCAGAGTTCTGCCTTTAATCTACAAGACAGGAAAACAATACACAATAGACTGTCAAAATAGATGGAAGTGTGGTAAAGAGACAAAAATTGACATAGGAAACATACACTGTAAAAACCAGGAGCAAAACAAGAGAGAACACCGACACTAGAGTCTAATGTCTGCTTTACTGCTATCGGACAGTCAATCAGCATTTAAGACAACCTTTAAATAATGTTCCTCAGGATCAGACTTCCTTTGAGTCAGTCCTGTTTAACGACTAGAATTGGCTTCGACCAGGATGATAACCGGTGCTTTTAAAGAAACATGATTTGCAGTGACTTCAAAGATGAAGGACTGTTTCTCTGGTTTTACATTTTGATGTGTTTTGTAGATGGACATAAAAAAAATAATCAATTTAGTCAAAAGTATTGTTGGACTGAAAAGGACTGTGATATTAGACAAACACTGAATTTATTATATTCAAAAAAAAGCCCACAGACACTTTGTATCACTTGCCAAGTGAGAAAACTATGAGCTGCATTGTTTGCAATATATGGACTTCAAAAGTGTTTCTCCTTGGTGACATGTACTCTCAGTATTAAGTATTCAAAGCTGAATCTGAAAATAACAGCAGAGCCTCACCACCAAGATTTCTGAGTCCATCTCCAGTCCCCATCGGCTGAGCTCCTTCAGACTCTCAGGGTTGGTGCTGATGTTCTTCAGAAGCTGTTTTATTGAGTGGGTGTGCTGCTCTCCGCTCACATTGATGTGCATGGTCAGGTCCTACAATATATGGAAAAGACATCTCACTGAGTCCGTTTCCACAAGTGCTTTTATCACCAATTTGTATTCAAACACTTTCAGACCTGTATCCCCTGAGATGACACATAATATTGTTCCACAGTCTCTAATCTTAAGCACCATTTAGACTTTGCATTTCCTGTGTATTAGGGTTTGGGGAGTGGGGGTGGTAGTGTTTACCCTCTGCTGTGGCGGGAGATAACATGGTTGACCTTTTATAGTGAGAAGCTTAAAACAATATGAAATGTGACCAGACTAGTCTGACTGATGTCAATTACCTTACAATTACGCATTATACTGACTTATACTCTGGTATGACTTGGCTAGATGTTAACAACAGTCAGAGCAAAATGTTTACTTCTTTGACCTAGTTATGACAACAAGGCTATAATTAAACCTGGCAGCCCTTGGGGCTTAAACTTAGACTCTTAAAAGTCATTTTGATAAGATGCAATTGTTCAGGCCGAGTGCACATCCAGCCTTAAAGATCAGATTTTATTTTTTTTTATTTGGCCTTTTACACCTTTATTGGGTAGGACAGCTCAAGTGTGACAGGACAGGGGGGAGAGAGAGGGGGGACAATATGCAGCAAAGGGCCCTAGCCTGGACTCAATCCTTAGTACATGGGCTGCACGCACTGCCAGCTGAGCTACAAGCTGATCATAGCATTTCTTATTTCATTTTATATATAGGGACATAATCTTTACTGCTGCTTAATGTACAAGTTTGAAGATATAAGAGCAGCCTATGAGAGGAAAAACTGACAGATGTACCTTCATAGATCTGAAGTCCTTCCTCATTTTGTCAGGGATTCCCGTCATGAAGGAAAGCTCTGGCACTAAAAGGATCTCTCCAGTGATGATTTGCTGCAATAAATCAACATTATATAACTATATCATTAACAATAATTATTATTATTATTATTATTATCATCATTATATATTTAATTTTAATTTATATGTGTTAATTTCCTATTTGTATCATTATGCTTCTGATGGACTAATGAACAACGTACAGTACTCATTTGTACAGTATATATAATTAATAATATAAGTTAATATATTCTTTAAATTAATCATTACACAATGACAACAAAATACAGTTGTAGTATGTGCCAAAAAAGTAAGTAATTGTATTTTTTTTGTATCCAAATGTGATTTTATTAGAGATATTAAACCATACTGCAGTTTACTTGATTCTTTTTATTCTTGTGTGCAGGTCTGAGCTGATGTGCATGACCAACAGTTAGCACCTAGACTATTTTTTATTGTACTGTATCAGATTTTTCTATGCCCCTCTGCCATGGCCTCTTACTCTCCTTATGTGTCTTTGGCCTCTATAAACCATGCTTGCTAATAGCAACACACATCTTTAATAGATGGATAAGGACTGATTGTTAATTAAAGAGCTGTGCAAAGGAGTTTCACACAGGTACATTAGCTGTTAATGAGGTTTTCCTTGTTAAACACAGTTAATCTAATGTGTGAACTAAAGTGTTAGCACAGCAGAAGTCTTTTCTAGCAATGTGTTAAGAGAGCGACAATGAAGATCAAGTGAATCCCAGTATCATTAAGCGTGTCTCAGCAATTAAAGAAAACGTCCTGACATGTCTTGGTTGCAAGACTTATTGTAGCCACACGGTGGCATGCTGATGCAAGAATTCAATTCATGTCAACTGAGTGTTCTAGTGTGAGGAGCTTTACTTTATTATTATTATTATTATTATTATAAGAAATCTAGCCGACTGCGTGTCTTAAGCGTTTATTAAAATAACTGATGCTGAAGAGAGGTTTTACCTTCCCTCCTGGCTTGGACCTCTCCTTCGGCCGATGCATGAGCAGAGGTTGGTCCATCTCTTTGATTGTAATCCCATAGTTCTTGCTGTTAAAAAGTGAAAGCCCATGCAATGCAATGCATGTCATTACATGAAAAAAATAAAATACTAAGACTTTCATTGCTTCTCTGAATTTATTAAACTGTCATGTTGATGCACAAATACTTAAAGGCTCAGTTTGGATGAATTTGTGAACAGTCTTACCTGTAGTATTCCACAAAGGTGGTTTTTGTGCCATCCATCAAAGTGAAGGTGTCTTTGGGGGACTTGTTCCACTCAATGGCATCAATGCGGTATGTGCGGTTGTTGTAGCGAGTAATGACGATGCTGCCAATGAGTTCTTTGGTGCATTCATCTTGGAAGTTCTCTTTGCTCTGTTGGTACAACATGTTCCTGGCAGACAGCAGGGGCCAAAGGTCAGTTTTCCACTTTCTATTTTAACAGATGGCGCAAAGCTAAGGCAAGATTAATTTGGTTTATAAATAATCTATTGACACAATGGGTAGACTGTCTGGCAATTTGCTGTCCTCCAACTCACCTCTTAACCCAACCACATTCCCAGAGGGAAGGGTTATAAGTTGAGGAGGGTTTTCACAGTTCTGCCTCACAGGACAGATGCACTAAGACCATCACATCTTACAAACTGGTATTTAAATATTTATGACTATATCACAGAATATGACATCAATATAGCTCTGTGTGGCTTGCTCGTGGCATATTCAGTGTTTAAACTTGTATGAGCATGTCAGAGTACCCATATAGAAGACATTCAGAAGGAATAGAATAAGACGCACTGGATTTTATTATAGCAATATCGGCAGATTTCCGCCCAGCTCATGGTTGATGTTTAGTGAGTTTGAATTGTGTGCTTTCAAATTACCAACAGAAAGCTGGGAAGACTTTTTGGAGCACAACTGGGCCCAATGACAAAGGAAAAGTAAACAAAAGCTAAAAAAAGATTATTTAATATACACAACAACAAAAAGTGATCCTTTCCCTTTAGCACTGTAGAAACTGAGTATGTTATGTTTTATGAAAACTAAATATTTTACAACGTATACCAGTTTTGGTTGAAAATACAAATTTACAAAACTAAACACTTCACTTATGATTATAAATGGATCTGTGAATTTGTTACTATTTGTATGCTACTGTTGATTTGCTGTGTGAACTCACATGACATCCAACACAGAGTCATTCCTCAAGACTTTGTGAGACACATCCACGCACAGGTACAGGCCTCCATCTGTACGTTTGATACCAGTTGAATAGCCTGGCCACACTTGCAGCCTACAAAAACAGACAAACAGGATAATGAATGGAGTTGCCATGATATTAGCTGGTGTCTGCCACCTGATGTTACAACTCAATACTTACCGGTGTTTTCCAAGAATGACCGCGCTTTCTGGATCGTAATGATTTCGACCCACCAGCTTCAGTCCAATGATCTTCATTACCCTTGAGAAACACGAACACTGCATCAAGTCCAGTCAATTGAACATTCTAATAGTAACATATTACAGTAGAATAATTCCTACAGTCATTATCTCTGCTTAGGTTATTTCATTAAAGGGGTTTTATGAATACAAGTAAAAAGACTAAAGCAGCCGTACTTTGAGTCAAACAGATTAGAAATCATTTTACGGCTCTTTAGTGGCTACATGCATGAGACAGTTAAAGTTAATACAATTGGTAGTTAGACTAACTACCAATTGTATTAACTTTAACTGTGTTTAAACCACGCCATTGTTTGTGAATGGAGCAATTACAAATTTTGTCATTATAAATTCTTAACCTGACAGGTTAAGTAGATGATGACTGCCATTATCTGCTATGGGAGTTTTGTTAAAGCCTACATATTACATTTTCACAAAGTGCTTCAATCTCATAACTTAAGTGCAATCCAAAACTATACTGGTCAAACTCTGACCCATGGGTGTAGGAGCCTTATACCTTCTGAGCACCACATTGTAGAACGGGATGCATAGATCCGAGTTGGGTGGCAAAATCTTCGTCATCTGGATTTTGATCTGTATTTCCTCGTTATCGGTCCGTCTCAAACTCTTGAGAAAAACCACCTGCATGTCATAAAAATATAATGCAAAAGAAGAGGAAGAAAGGAGAAGGTATTGAGTCCAGCACTGTGACTTGCATACAAACGTTGCACTGTATGGTTCTGCACTAAAAAAACTCTATACATTTAAACTGCCAAACCTTTTATCAGTAGTTTTAGACCTTCGTAGGAACTCCATCGTCTACATACACAACAATTTGAATCAACAATAATTAAAAATTAACTATAAGACAATCCATTTCGTTGCTTTCCAAGTTAGTATCTGTGATACCTACGTCATTCAGCTTAACAGGCAGGTAGAGTATGGAGCCATCAAAAGCTACTACTTCCCCTGTGGTCGAGCGGTGATCTTTCATCATGCCAAAACGCATTGCCATCGATTCAACATTTGGACTGAAAGATAATGTTGAAAATACAAAACTTATAAGAACCCACACACAGTACTTTCAGTCCCAATTACCAGAGTCAACTAACAATATCCAGTCAACAAACTGGTGCTTTGGAATAGCCTTGTAGCACTAAGCATGTCTCCTCTGGGATTTAATTAACAGTGCTTCAATGTAATTTTAGCTTTGGTTGTCCACGTCCATTTTTGGTTCATCATTCAAAAATGGATTCATTTTGGTATTTTGAGAGAGAGAGCGAGAGAGAGACACAGACAGACAGCGCGCTCGCAAGCTCGAGCTGTTATTAGAAGTGTCTGACTACATGACCATACAGAGAAATTAAACATTTTCTGTACCTTTTGCCTGATCTGCTGTGTGTCTAAACACGCTCACGGAGAAGTCTAATTCTGAAATCTCAGGAGAAGTGAGGTGACTTGAGGTGAGAGTACAGAAAATGTAGCTCAGGGTTATGTATACGATTTTTAATGTCATGGCTAATTAGGGTTGCAAAATTCCGGAAATTTTCAAAGTGGGAAACTTTTCATGGGAATTAACGGGAATAAACTGGATATTTTTAATATTGCTTGTTATAATACTGTTAGTCTGTAACAGGGAACTTACATGTAGTTGAAAAGAAACATCTTGCAGGATAATCTTGCTTAAAACAACCTGATTTAATGCAACTTCAGTTGAATGTCCTCCCTATATATTCATCAATGACATGCACACACGCAGTAATCAGCATAGGCTACTACATACTTGCCAACATTTATTTTGTAAAATAAGGGAGATTTTTTTCTTTTTTTTGGGGGGGTGAATACATAACCCTTGGCTATTAACTTATTTGGGTTAATTGTATTGTACGCATATAACCATAAACATAGTCATAGTAAATCAAAGGCAGCATGCTAGCTACCATTATATGTTAAGCTAAAGGTCAATGGTTTGGCCTACTACTTATGGTGCTATCCATTTGTCTCGGGAGGGGGATTTACTTGTACCACTTATAGCGTTCCATTTGTCTTTGGGCATTACGAGTCGGAAAGAACATGGACGCCACCGGTGCAGCAGCTGTGTTGTTATTGTTTGTGGGTCATCTAAACAAGCTCAATGTGAAATAATAATGTTTTTCTACAGAAACACTAACATTTCAAGTTATTCTGTTATTGCAAGTCTTACATTTCAATAATATTTTGCCATTTTCGCCTATTTCAATGTTTCCAAAATTCCCCAGCTTATCTTTTCATGGAAAGTTTTCCGGAAAGTTTCCAGAAATTTACCGGAAAATTTTCGCCCCTTTGCAACCCTATGGCTAATATATACACAATTTAGCTGATTTAAAAAATGTGGATTCATGTGAGCACGAGTAGGTGAATGCAGATGAAGGGGAAAGAGTGAGAGGACAGGCAGAGGACGGTGAACCAGGTGCTGGAAGGATGTGACGCTCAGGAGACTGGTGGTGGTCCTGTAGGTGATGTGGCCCTATGGCAAAGTCCATCGAACAGAAACTAACTCATTCATACACATTCACACACAATTTGGGGTTCAGTATCTTGCTCAAGGATGCTTCGACATGTGGCACCAGGAGCCGGGGATCGAACCCACAACCTTCCGATTAAGGAACGACCCGCTCTGCCTGAGTCACAGCTGCCCTCAGAGATTTCAAAACCAGAGTTCTCCTTGAGAGAGACTTAACACAGACCAGATCAAGGGAGCGTTCAAAAGACATTTCATTTCCCTGTAGGTTCCTTTTCACAGTTGGGTCATGCAACACAACTGCTCTCAAGGATTGCGTGACAGCCTGTTTTGTGGCTGCAGGCTACACCGCCCTCACTCAATACTGGACCAAATTCAGAACTTGCCTCAATTAGTCACCCTGATACAAAAACACGTGAAAGAAATTGGCCTTTAACTATCAACATTAGAACAAATTCTTTCAGTCTGAACTTGAACACATGTTCCATTTTGTTTTCATTTCCACCAGCATATGGGAAACACATTAATGACACATGATACTTACGTGAATGTAACATGGTACTGATAAACAGCTTCATTCTTGCAACAGATCGGGATGTGGTTTGAGCCAATAGTTATAGGAGATCCTTTTGTTCCAGCCTTATTAAGCGGCTCACTGAGCAGAGGACAATATACATGCACAAAAAGATCATTTGAGTACAAGACACACAGTCAGTTATTTTGTGGTAAGGAGTTTAAGTGAATAATGGGCCTGACACAGCAAGTTGATCTCAAAGAACCAGCACTGATAAGACCTGACTGGTCAAATGTGTTGTCACCTCACATATTTAAAATGTTGCACATGAACATGCCACGAAGACCACAGTCAACAGCCTGCTGACAGCCAACCTGCACATACTGTACACTCTGTGAATCTTTATTTATGATTAATAAAAGTCAGCTTGCTGTGTCAAAGCTCTAAGAGGTAAATGCAAAGTATATCGGTGTACTTACTGGACAGCCTCCATTTTCAGCACCATCTCTGATGGGGCAACAGCAGAAAGCTCCAGCACCTCTTGAGTGTCGGGCACTGGGGACATGGTTTCTTCACATTAATTGAATTTTAAAATCTGTTACTTTTTCAGAAGTCTCTTACATTAACATATAAGTACTTCTATGTAAGAAATCATGAACTGCAGAAGACAATCTGAACAAAAAAAAAGGGGTCAATGCATTTTTGTGGTGAATATTTATTTTTAGAACACTGGATTGTCAGAAACTTTTTTCAAAGTATCCCTACCTCTGGGAGAAGTCTGAGCGTGTAGGGCTGCTTGCTGCTCAGAAAAGGTCTCAACACGACCTGCAGAAAAAGGAGAGAGTAGAGGTCGTCCTCTTCCTACTCCAAGCTGAGGCATCGCTGCTCTTCCAAGCCCCACCATCGTCTTTTGGGACAAACCTTGGCCATGGAAACTGTAACAGACCAGGGTTGCATATCAGTTTATACATAATACTAATAATGGCTGGAATAAGTCTGTATCAATGATAGTTCTGAAACAATGTGCTTACTATGGAAAACAAGTTAATTGTTTTTGATAAATATTTGTATGTGCTACACATCTTAGAAGTGATCACTGTTCTGTTGATTCTATTGCAAATATTTTTGTAACTAGCAAGAAACTTATGATGCCCTTAAACGGAAGTTACAAGTAATATTTACTGTGGGAAACTCAAGGGTAGCCATTATGAGGAACTGTGCGTATCCAAATATCTGTGCACTTGAGTCGAAAGCTGCTGACATTTACAAAAACAGAAGTGACCCAGAAACTAGTACACCACTTCAGTTACACAGACACCTTTCTTACACAGTAAAAGCAGCACCTCACAGCCCAACACCTATTATATGTAGTAGGATGCATAAAGCAGAAGACATGATATATCAGAATATAAAAAGGTTGCTTCAGATCACAGCTGCACACTTTTAGTGCAAGTGAGGCATTCAGGAGGGGTAGATAGTAGCACGATTAAAATCCCTGCACACAGGTCTGTTTAATAGGCATTTAACTCAAACTAATGCACTCAAATACAACAGAGCCCTGCAATAATTTCAGCCTTCATAAGTGCTACAATGTTCACTTTTTGTTGAGACTTGCTTTAGAGACTGTCATTTTTGCAGAATGTATTGTAGTTGTAGATGCTGTATTGCACTGCACTGGGCTGACAGGTGTTTCTAGGTGTTTTCAGCTATACACTGGATCTTGTCACTCCTCTGCCACCTACCTGCTGCCTCTGCCCATCACCTCTTCAGGTTGGCCGAAGCCCTCTGGGCTGCTGATGACACCTACTGGAGCATGTTGTGGCTTCACATCTCCCATATCTCCAGCTGCTCCTCTTCCTGTTACAAAATGTAACAACTCAGTTGTTATGGTTCTTCTGCACGTAACATACCGACAGCATAGCACAGGAACATGGATTAAACCTGCACTCTCAGCTAATCTGAATGGATCAACGTCTGTCCATTTAGATTTACTCATGTCCTCCCGACCTTGGGTCAACAGGGGTCACTCACTGCCTGCCCTTTGACAGAGAAACTTAATTTAATGTTATTGATTATTTTTCTTTTAATGAACAACCCAAATAGAGAGAGAAAATGAGAAAGCAAAGCATCCACAGGTCAAGAGGTCAGAGAAAGCATCAACTATACACAAATGGCTCTAACACAATCAAATCAACTGGGGCTGTTTTGTACTGAAGAAACTGTTTTACGAGCACACACAACATATAACATTTGATTTGATATTCTTTATTGACAAGAACCACGATATTCCTTTTAACTGAGTAAAATCACTCTTAATCTTATATTTTCTCCCTGTTTATAAATGTTTATTGAATGAATAGACAATTTTATAACTCTTGACAATGTATTTTTTAATCAAATCAAACATATATAATTTCAGGAATTGATGCATTGAATATATGCATGCAGTTTCTTTGTGCCATGAGAGGGTGCCAAAGCCTTTGACCATTTTACATTAGTGATGTACTAAGGGTTGATAATTCTCCAAAAGAATGTTTATGATAATGTTTTCTATCTATATCTAAACTATCTGTAAGCCATAATTAGACATTGTATGTATAGTTGCTCACAATAACTATCAATAAATCAATAACTGGTCCCAGTCCTGTTTTGGTTTTGAATACAGACCCACTGGTAGTGCTCCTCTTCCCCATGAGGTTAATGAGGGCTCAATGCCTATTCCTCGAAACATTGAGACCAGGACTGATGTTTGACCACGGGTAGGCACGTCAACCTGCAAAAAAAAAAAGAAAAAAAGAAAAAAAGTAGAACAATGATAATTATAAAATTAAAAACATGCTAAAGTTATACATAACCAAAGACACATTTCTACTTCCAACCTCTTTAGTTGCAGAGGTCTCTTCTGGGAGGTCTCGCGTCATGGTTTCACAGGGAGGTTTGTGTCTGCGCTGTGGCTCCAGACTAGGCAGGATTGCACCTCTTGCCACCCCTACCTTTGGTTCAGGTTCTGGGAAGAGAAGCGCTCTGGCTCGGCCAACTCCTCCATCATCAGGCTGCAGCAGCAGCCCTCTAGCTCGTCCAAGCACAGGTTCAGTAATGGGTAGAGATACTCCTCGTCCCTGTGGGGTATCGCCAGGAGTGGGAAACCCTCTGGCTCGTCCTACACCAGGCCCTTCTGTAGAAAGCAGCAGCCCTCTACTACGTCCTACAGCCAGCTCCTGAGGCTGCAGTACTCTTCCGCGTCCCAACCACGGAACGCCCGTCATACCACTGAGGTCAGGAGGCGTTTTTGGATCCATTCAGTCAACTTCTGATATTACCAGCTGACACAACAATGGGTTAACTGCAGGATGAAACCCGTGAGATACAAGTCTCATTAGCTGTATTGTACCATTGACAGCATGTATAATGGACAGAGCTTCTGGGTCTGTGAAGTGAAGCCAACGTGATAGTATCTTAAACCTGCATTCTATGTAAAGGCCAGCAGGGGGAGCTCCACAGTAAAAACCGATACCATGCAGTCTTAAGGAGAAATTACCTGGCTTGTCACTTAATTTATTAGCTCAGTAAACAGTTTCCTAATGAGTTCATTCAGTAAACTATGGTCCTTTTCAGTGACACACAAAACTTAGATCAAACTAGGCAATGCTGATCAAATACAAATCAAGATTGTTTTCTGTCTTTTCCAATTTCTCACCTAAAAACGTTTCAAGTTATATTCAGAAGTGTGGATTAAAATCAGCTGTAGAAAGCACTACCTTCTTACTAACTCTTAGATATTCTGAGCGATACAGATTCCTAATCCCTCAACAGTACATCATTGTTTTGTGTTTGCGTTGCCATGGGAAGCTGAACATCAACCACTGAATAAAGAAAGTCATTTTTTTCCTGTTTACGTCAGGTAATATTAACACTTTAACTGTTACACAGCATATTAACACTAACACACTAAAAGAATGATAAAGGCACAGCCACCACATACCAGTGGATGACCATTTTATGCTTGGACTCACTATTCACTGCTTTTTACACTGCAGGCGTGATTATTAAAACATGTATTCTTCTGTAAGTATTTATTGCAGATAATATTAAAAATCAACTCTATTATGTGAACTTGTTAGAAATAAACAGAGGCACTGAGAGTGCATGGAGTCGACCAGCAATTGTCTCCGCAGCCAGCATTCATCTCCTGCCTAATGTTCTTGTTGCTTTTTGCTGTAATGGTTTTTGTTATATTCTCCATAACTTTCCTATAACGAGCTGTTCATATATATGTGTGTGTATATATATATATATATATATATATATATATATACACTGTCAGTGGGCTGATGGGCAGCACGCAGTTGGTCCGTTGTATTCAAATGACGCGCCAAACCTCGGTTAACAGAGGAAGATGATGAACACCATGGTGACATCCATTATCTCTGATTGGGATTTATGGGTTCGTCGAGGCAGCTAACGCGAAGAGGAGCCAGTAGAGATACACAACTCAAGCTAACCTAACAGACACTGTATGTAGGACCCTTCAGTTTATTAAGAGACTGTGTTGTTCACTAAGTCAACATAAAAAGACCACTTTAAGCCACTTTATGTGTCTAATTTACCAACATGTTTGACTTTGACCAAAGAGCCAGCTATGTTTCATTCTTTTATAAGTTTACTAACAGCTGCCGTAAAAAGGGAAACATGAAGGTATGGGAAATAAACTAGCTTATTAGACTTAATGTCAAATAAATGTAGTTATTTATTTGTCTGACTTCAAAGCTAAGTTAATTAGCTAGACATTATGGCGCCAGCATGCCTTCACCATTAAAATACATAATATAACTAACAGGAAACATCACGCTTCACCACTGCGTCGTTAACCGGGCACCACCGTGAACACAGCTAACGTTACAATACACAGTATGTTAGCTAGCTCTCTCAAACACGTGTTGAAGGAAATTACACAGAGGACGGTGACAACCACTAGAAATTCAATTTAAATACAAGCTAATTACTTCCAGAAAACTGAGCAATATGTGTCATATGTAGGTTATATTGTTAGAGCAGGAGAACTCACATACAGCCGAGGGATATGTCTCCAACCGGGCACAGTACGTCAAACCCGAGCTAAAATAATCCCACAGAAAGGGTTTATAGTCGGCGTCTTCCCTCCAACACCCGTATTGGATAATCAGCAGATTCTGCAGCAAGGCATTGGTTTACTCATCCTGTCAATCTTTTATTGTTCGTTTAAATGAGGATGGGGGGAAATTGCTTTGTCGCCCTCTGGTGGTCGTCACCTGTGTACTTCAGGTGTAACCTACAGACCTGAGCACTTTGATTCACTCGTGTTTGACGTTGTACATCATGTGCACAGTGACAGCAGCAGTGTATTCATGTCAGTGAACTACCATGTTCTGTAATTCACTTTGTATGCAAGCTCAGGAGGTGCAGTCAGTCCAGGTTGGCTTCTTTGGATTAATTAGCCTATATAATGATAAAATTATTCAATCTTGATTTTATCCAAGTAATGCAATCAAGCTGATGTAATTTGCGACTCCAGATGACCTGATTATAAAACTCATGTAAAGCAGAATGCTGTCAAATGAAATTGTATATCTAAGTCAGTTAAAATTGCATTTGGGCTTTTTGCTTCTTTATTCACAAATTGTTTATCGTCACACTTTTAACCAATCATGCAACTGATAAAGAGAGAGATAGAAACTCCCAAATCATTTTCAGTCACCATTGAGTATTCAGATATCTGTGTGGAATACCTGCACAGGAATACTGATTGGTACAAAGTTTGCCCTAGATGTTTCTTTTTCAATGCAGGCTGTGACTCTGATAAATCATGAACAACGTCTATATTGAATGCTTGACTCAAATCTGAATATTGTGTGATTAAACAGGCGGTCTATTTTCAGAAATTAGGCTACCCAGATTCTGTATTTGCTGTGTGTATTGCAGCCATTTATTGCAAGTCTTGCAAATCTTGGCCTTGACTAATAGTCTCACTCCACAACTATGGACATTTACTTTGGATACTAAACGGCACAACTGAAAGGATAATCATGACGAAAGGATGCTTCACCTCCTACTCTAGGTCAGCTGCTAACATGCACATAGATTTGTGTCTCTTTGCTATTTGAAAATATTTTTCAAATAAGAAAGCTGAAAGAAGGAAATTAACATTCTTAAAAGTCCAAAGGCCCACAGAGCTTTGGTTTTCAGGTCACCAGTCAGGCATATTGGCAATTAGTCTTAGACTCTTTTTAAATAATCACAAAACTGCCCCCCTGAGGTATGGAGGTGATGACTTTGTTCTTACACCTGGTCTCTGCTGGAATAAATGAATCACAGATCCAGAAAGAAACCATTCTTTTGGTCCTTTTATATTAGCTACTGTTTTTTGGAGAGTGACCGGGTGGGATAATACATTTCATTAGATTAGATTCATGGCCATACCTTATGTCTTTAATTTATAGAGCGTATATCCCATTTCATGCCTGGTGCTTGAAGGACAACATCACACAATCAGCAAAAACTAAAAGGGAACCTGATGAGATTTGTGAATGATTTTAGTTTGAAGGGACGTAATGCCATCTACTGACCCATACAGGTAACTGAGAATCATTTTAACCTTCCATAATGAATGTAAACACGGCCCCCCGAAGACCAATCACCAACGTATGTGTGATGCTACAGTAATTGTGTTGGTGTAGGGACATTCATTTATGTTCACTGTGTGTGAGCACGTGTATAATCAGCCATCAGTAATGGTTTACCTGTTACTGTTTCAGAGCAGCAAGCTCAGCGGCCAACGGCAGAGATGTGTGACAGTTTGTAGGTGTGACATGAATCAGGCTCAGCTCAGCAAACCCAGCTCTGTTGAAAATAAAGCTTAAGGAAATTTGAAAAGCTTGTTTCCCTTTGTCAGTCTTGCCCACATCCTTGAAATTGACAAACTGTCATGTTTTCCTCTTTCTAATGTGCATACTCCTACTTTCTGTTTACTTTGACACATAAAAAAACATAGAACATAAAAATATCCTCAAAGCATTATAATTTGTTTCTGAAACGACTCAAATGAAATGCACTGTGGGCGTTACATTCATTTGGTACACGGTTAAATTTCACCCACATATGCAAAAGCACTGGGAGCGACTTTAGGTTTCAGCGTCCACCTTTCAATATGTGGACAAGAAAACGACAAACTTGCTCTGCCACTTGGATTGAAGCCACCCACGGATGCTACTAACTATAAATAAGTATACCGTGTTTATGATGAGAGCTCTACATTAGAAATTAAGCATTCCACATACACACATATTAATTTTTTTGTATGTATATTGTTTATTTAACATGGACAATGCACAATACATTGCCCCAGATATAGCTGATCCCTTGACCGAGATCGCTGCTGATGGCGGAACAAGATACCTACATGGAGAGAAAAAGATTGGGTATGTATTATTGTGAGCTGGTAGACAAAAGAGAACGTATATCATTAAAGCTTTATATCATTTAGGTCTGTCCACTGGACTCATTACAACATAGCATGTGACTGATTCAGTTTTTAAAAGCTAAGAGTGAAGACCAGGGTGCAACCCTTGCTGTAAGATCCCCTCCAGACATGTTATATACAAATAGTCTGATTGGAACAATAATGTGTATCAGATCTGTTTTTCCACATTTCAACCCTTAAGTAGGCCTCTACTCCTTCCACGTCATTAACGTCCAGAATCTATGAATATGCAGATGTTGTTCATTTCTTAAGTTTTCCTGCTGGACACAAGATGTCTCCTACTTCACTGTAAAGTCCATTCTCAGTGGATGTGCACTGGCTGCCTTTGGACTTTCAAACTATTTGTGATGCTGTCACGCTCGTAGGCCCCACCCCTTAAAATCCAATTTTCAGTGAGCACAGAGAAACTTTCCACTTTCAGCAGATGAATGTGAAAACATCCTTCTAGTGTCAAACTCTGCACATACAGCATTCGGCACAGTGAAGATCAAACATCCAACAGTAGGAACAAGAAGAAAAGCATCAAAAATCAATCACTGGGGAAGCAGCTAATAGCAGCAGAGAGTAAAGCCTGTGTTAAGCAGAGTAGGAGTTTCTGGCACAACAACCACTTCCAAGGTACATGGAGAAGGGGAATAAAGTCTAAAGGGGTCAAAACTCCAGCAACACTAGTATATAGAACAATTTTATTGTTAGACCAGCACGTTTTGGCTTGTGGCCTACCCTGATGAAGGCCTCTAAAGACCTTAAAAGTCTGTCTTGCACTGCGTTATGTGTTTCGAATACTTATTTTCACGGTCAAAGCCTTTTAAAATGTGTTTTTCTGCACTGGAAAAAAACAATCACACGCATGCTGCTTTTTACTAATTTTAGACATTACTCTCAGATCATTCTTTTCCTCAACATCACTGATATTTACATTTAGATTTAACACTTTACATACACTTGATTTTGAAGTGTGACCAGAAGAAATAATGGTTTACCTAAAAAGGTTGGTGGCCAGTTGTCTATGGTTTGATACTGAAATGATTAATCTGTGGCCCTGAGTAAACAAAGGTTGATACATGCCTTGAATGTTATTGAGATAAAGGGGTTTAAGATAACACAAGCAACTGCTTGGCTTGTTTTAGGAAGTAGAATAACACTCATTTAAGTTACATATATTATATGAATAAAGCTTAGATTGATACTTCCATTTTGTTTGTTTGTCATTTGAAAGTGATCATCCCTTTGAGTTCAGAACGAACTCACAGACAAACACTGTCATAATGAAATTACCTGTTTGTTGCCTAGCGCCTGCTCCGTGCCTGACTGTGTCACATCATTAAGGTCATGTTCACAACTCTTCAATTTGCTGCCAGGAAAACAAGATAAACAATGTTTATCTCCCCCCTGGCCTCAGAGGAGGGACAATCTCCACCTGTCTGACTTCAGCTGCAATCTACATCTGAAGAACAGACATTTGACTTCAACGGACTGACTGCTAACATTATGCCAGTTCATGTCAGTGGCACAGATGGGCTCCAAGCCGACATAGTCAGTACCATTACCTGTCATGTCTAATGCAGCATGTTTGGATAAGACCTGAAGGGTTGCTTTTGGCAGTGTGCTCTGACATTTAAACATCAGAAAACGACTGACATGTTGGTGTAATTATTGGTCAAAATGTAAAACTTGATGGCAACCTGCATTATTCCTATGAAAGGACATTATTACTTAATCTGGCAGCAAGAGGGATCAAAACAAGTTTTTGCATTTTAAGATAATTTCCCTATAATTGGTTCAAATTACACTTTTACTTCTGACAAACCACACCGCTATGGATTACTGAGGGTCAAACTAAGCACTGGCCCAGGACCTGAACCTCTTTGTAAAGTTACTGTTAACAGTTATTGTTGGATGATCAATCAAACAACTATAAAGAGAGGCAAAATGACTACAAAGCCATGCATAACAGCTATTAAGAGAGGCAAAACCGCAGCAAAGAGATACAAAATGATGACACGAAATTACCACAGAGGGATGCAAAACAACCACACAAAGACACAACATGACTATAAGGAAATGCATAACCTCCAAGAGACGCAAAACAAACACACAGAGATGCAAAATGAACACAGAGACAGAAAACAACAACAAAATTCTAAATGACCACAAAGAGGCACCACATGAACACAGAGACAAAAAATGACTACAATAGGATACAAAACAACCACACAGGGACACAACATGACAACAACCAGACACAAACCGACGATGCCTGAATGCCTGCCTGTGCGGTTGCTTCCACAGAGAACAAACAGCTCATTTATTGTTAACAATCTCCATTTTAAAGTTCTCCTAACCATCTCTCACCATTGCTCCCAAAGCACGTGTAATCCATGCCTGTTTAACCCCTCTTATTACAAGACCCTTAGACAGGCTGAAAAGAGACACTGACGTAGTGACAGGTTGCTTTGCATAAGCCCCGAGTACTCGCCTTAGAGGCTTTCCACCCTGGAAACTTGTGACCCATCTCCACTGATATCCACGGATCTGTAATATCCTTGGTATAAATGGGCCAAATTTCGCTGACAGCAGGAGAAGCTGGCCATGGTGTCACTGGTTAATCTGACGTGACAATCACTACTGACCTGTCTGTCAGACTGAGCAGTAGGTAATAGTGAGTAAAAGGCCATGGCTGTGGAGCCTCGCATGTGATGGGGTTGCGATGACAGGCTGAGGGAATTGTGGGAAAGAGCACTGGCCCCTCCAGAGCCAGGGGGGACAAACACACCACAGCTGTCGCTGCCTGGACGATGATGCAAGTAGCCAAAGTCCTGGGAAGCTTTCCCATATGTCCACGCTGTCTTCCAGCATCATCAGCAGCAGACTTTCTCTTTTGATTTGTCTTCAGTGCTTAAATCTGAGGAGCCAAGGCCACCAAGAAAAGCATCAGCACAATAGCAGAGCGTGTTGTTCACTAAAAGAGAAAGTGTACTTTTTGTTAAATGGTTTTGCTTTTGAGTGTTTGAGTTGCTCTATTTATAAATAGATGCTTGCTTGTTGGAGGCACTGGCAAAATGCCATGAGATTCAGTTCCTGTCAAATTCCAGAGGCATGTGGGAAAAGTGGGGATTTTTTAAAGCTTTTTGCTGCACAATGAGATTTTTTTTTTTTCCTCTAAAAAAGGCTTGACTCTCTTTGAGGGCTTTAAAAACATCTGTCACACGTGTGCCAACCAGCTCATCATAACAATACATATAGATGTGTTCTGAGGAGTGTTGATATTATGTGGGATTTTTGTTGTATTAACCCACAGCCAGACATAAGAGACAGACGTTAAATTCTATGAATACATCTTCATCTTTATTTTGTGACCAGTAGGCTATACTCTACATTAACTGTTACAGTCTAGTTTGGAGAGGGGACCCTGTGCCCTAATGTACAAATAGCCACTAAACTATTCATGGTTTTGGAGCTCGCTGAATCCACACTGAAAGCGCTGCCCTATCCTTTATGTCCTGTATTCATTTAGTAGGCTGCTTGTGCGTCTCAAACGATGCGTCACATGAATAGGCGCGGTTTAGTGCGCAGCGCAACTCCCCAAATAGTCCACATTTATCCGTCAGTGCACTGAGAAACAAGCACTTGGGGAGCAGCAATGTTTATATTTTATAACTTTTTTTTTTTTTACATTTGATAGTTTTGGAGTAGAAGTTTTTTTAGCCTCCGGCGATGCAGCACGCATCTATAGCTCTTCCTCAGCGGATCATTCTTAAACAGCAACCAGTCAAGAGCCCCAGTGAGTTGTTGGCAGCTCTGATGTGGTGCAGCTGCAACAGCCTCGATCTAAAACCGCTGGACAGAAGCCGAGCGCAGGTTACACATATCCAAATATGCGCGTAATTGGAGTGCACTGGCGAGGCGTCCCTTGCACCCCCAACGTTACCGAGTTAACGTTGTCGTGATGTTTAATACTTCGGGAATTGAGCTCACTTTTAACAAGAAAGAGGATATTTCCGAAGTTATCAATGGCACTCTGCAGTTTTGGTACACCGTCACCACCAGTCCCACAACCATGGGGAACGAGTCGTGCGGGGAGCAGCTGCTGGATTTCGGGCGCCCGGAGAAGATCATTATCGGGGTGATGTTGGCGATCATCACGGCGGTCACCGTCATGGGAAACACGCTGGTGGTGATCGCAGTGTGCGTGGTGAAGAAACTGAGGCAACCTTCAAACTACCTACTGGTATCCCTGGCAGTGGCTGACCTCTCGGTGGCAATAGTTGTGATGCCGTTTGTGATAGTGACAGACCTCACCGGGGGCAAGTGGCTTTTTGGAGACGTGTTCTGCAACATCTTCGTCGGCATGGATGTAATGTGCTGCACTGCCTCCATCATGACCCTGTGCGTGATCAGCGTCGATAGGTAAGTTTCCAAAGTTAGCAACTACAGCTGCTCTGACATTGAAGCCTGTAAATTAGTAATGGCACGAAAATTACGCACGCTTTGCGCCCTGCGTTTAAAATGAGGTGGGGAAGACACACGTATGGCCTTTTATAAGCTGCTCTAAACTACTTCAGTGCAGTGAGGGCAGAAACAGATCAAATGTCACACGAAGTAATGGAGGCATGAAGTAACTGGGTGCTATTTAATGGCATTTAAACTAATCACAGATCAACCATTCTTCTGATTATCTGTGCGGTTGAAACCACTGAACCAGAAAATTAATACGCAGACTGTGATTAATTTATAGTACGCTTAATTAATTAGCTTGACCGGACAATGGGCAGTGTTCCCTGTAATTACACGCATTTAGGATCAGTTCAGCTGCTATGACTTTGATACATGATTTACCATCGTCCTTCATCTCTGTTAAGGGCACATAGGTCGCACCTGCGCTCTATTATTACGCCTCCCTAACTATAAAATCTGGATATAAAAGCTGCTGGAATACAATTAATACAGAGAGTGCAGAAGGTAAAGTTCACTTCTGAGAAAACTGAGCTACAAATGCTGCTTTTCTGTCTCACTGCATACATAAATATGAGGTCTACTGGTGTTTTGCAACAACATTATTCCAAAATTATTCATGAAAGTTAGCTCCCAAATACCCCACTGTGAGTTGCTTTAAATTCAACATTAGAAATGGAGAAAGAGAAGCCTGAGCACTCATCTCCATCCAACCCATCAAGATCCACTCACAGGTAAACTGCAGCTCCTTGGAGTCACTGCTCCTGATGCCAGAGCTGAGCCTGATAGCTTGTGACATGTCCACTGCTCCCACTATGATCCACAATGAAATAAAAGACAAGTGATCAGTGCCACTGTTCTGCCTCAGTAACCATAATAAAGACAGAAGCTCATTGTGGTATTTATGATTTGATTATTTCTTCCTGCTCGCCTATCAGGCGTTATTACCTCAGTGCATTACACCCAGAATTACACGTTCCTTTTTGTGGATGCGCTGAGCACAAGGAAATTAAGTACGCATGAAGAGCTAATGATATTATGGGAGAAACTGGATCACAGATATCAGGCTGTGATATAGTGTGATTGCTCCAGCCAGCTGTGGTGAAGCAGACAGATGTATCAATGTGTTTTTGGGCTGGTTGGAGGGTAACACGATTAGTTGGATACAGCAGGGATGTGCAGAGGATGTTAGAGGGGCAGGAGCCCAAATTCATGAAAGTACAAACAATTAAATAAATATATGCCTTCTGAGACACTGTTAAAGGGATAATGCACCCTAAAGTAAGCCAACAGACGAAATGGTATAATCATCATCACACACACACACACACACACACACTTACACACATACCCACACTCACAGTAACTACAGAAAATGAGCTGATGGTGACATGGACACTGTTTATTTTTTAATAACAATTTATCCTAGCAATACCCTACACAACAATCCAGTAGCATGAATGGTTATTAAGTAAGAAACCTAAAATAAAAAAAATTGCAGTTACTATTTAAGTCCATTAGCCTGTATGAACATGCAAGCATATGCAAACATTATCGCGTTCTGTCACCGTAATAAGGCTCGAACACAGCGCTCGCTGCTGCGGCAGGAAACCAGGAGGGAGGAAGAGTAGAGGGCATCAGACCAATCTCCGGATCTGATATTTTGATTCAATCAATATATTTGTTTGGCAGGGCAGGCTGTGTGCAAAAATAAAAACAACAAATAATGGGCTCTTTCTTTCTAAAAGGCCTAATGGCAGGTGCCCAAGCCCCCCTGGGAGGTCTATCTTTGCAGTTGTATGGGGTAGAGGCTGACATCAAGAGCATGCATCAAGAGGTTAGGTTAGAGGTCAGAGAGGTCACAGTAGTTATTGAAGACGGACAGAGTGTAGTTTCATCATCTGTGGCTCACTCCCCAGTCAGCACCAACACATGGTTCTGCCACATCCGCCTTTAGAGATATCATGACTTCAGCAGATATACAAGGAGGAAATCATCTACATTAAATAGAACTAACCTGAAATAAACAGTGTCAATGTATTAAACCAGACCTCTCTTTATATTCCAGTGGAGGATAAGAAGTATAGTGGCAAACCAGCGCTGTCGGGTCTGATGGGCGTTGCTGTGAATTGCTCATACCATATACTCAGAAAGGACAAATGGACCCACTTGTGAGCGAGCATGTGTGAAAAGACTGGGTGATTGAATCTGCTACCATGAAATCAAAGTGGGAACAACCACCAGATCACAATGTCTAAAGGATCTCTTCCTGCCTGTTGTCAACCGGTATACTAACTGAGGATTTCCATTTCAATCGGATGTCAGTTAAGGATTATTTTCTTCTCCACACAGAATGTTCAGACAGTTCTGTAAACAGTTTTCGCTGATCTCCATGAAAACAGTCTTGTTGTCATGGAACAATGCAGTGTGTGTTTGGCATAGAATTCGCAATGGGAATCATAGAGATAATTCATTAGGATGGGGATTGCCAATTAGGCACATGATTAGCTCTAATTAGACCCCATTTAGGATTCCCTTACAACGCCATGCATTGCAAAATAAAGCTCTTTGCTGCGAGTGAGGCTCAGCGTTGAACAACTTTTCTTTGTGGGGGTCATACAGTTCCTGAAGACTATAGGTGCCCTATTGCACAGAGGGATATTGATTTTCTCTCAGAGCTCCTTGAGGTTTGCAGGGAAGATGCTGCACTGTATATGCCAATATGGACAATGTGGTGCTATAGGAGAGTGGTCCCTAGTGTATGGGGCCAATGAATTTATGATCCTGCAGGGACCTGACAGGCTTTGTTCGATGCTCTCAGAGAGGTAGTTGTTATCCTGGTGGAATACTGCACCTCTGACACTCACCATTCACTCGAACATGACAATCAGTGGCAGATTTAAACCACATGGGGTTTTGAGGCAAGAATTTAAATGATGAAGATTTAAAACTACTTTTTGATACAGGACCCTTGTATTTTAAAAGTCAGGGTCTTAGTGACAGAGTTACTCTAGTGATGTAGTATTATATACACCCTAACCTCTATAAAGGTGGGAGACAAGAGATACATTTTAAAAAGAATGATTGAAATCAGTGCAGTAGAGCGTGATCTATCCTGACTTTTAGTCTTAAGCATTAAGACAAAACACTAAATCCTCATATTGCAAGTCAGTCGTGTCTTTTGTCAGAGCCTCCCTGCCTGGTAAATGTCTTTTAAACTCTACGCCTTCAGAAAGCTCCCTGAAGACTAAAGAAGACTTTTCTTTTCACAGACTAAGTAAATACTTACTGTTACAAGTGCCCCTTTAATAATGCAGGACCTGTTTAAAGATGATTGTAGATGTGAATTTAGTGTTGAGATATATACAGTTAAATAAATCACCACAACTTCTTCTTGTGTTGTGCCTTCAGCTGCATATTTTTCAAATTTTGTACCTTTTAACGATATTTTAAATATTTATACTAATGTTTAAATACTTTTTAAAGGACTGTTTATATTTTCTGAGCAGACCATCTAAACAGGTAATGATGGTTATGCAACAAAAGCATTTGCAGTCGCAGCAACATTTTGGGGGAAATGTTTGTCGCTGTGGTTAGGGGGTTTGAAGCAGTTTCTTCTCATGTTAGCATTTGGGACTTTTCACTCAACCCTACTTAATGTGTATTGTATATGTGTATGCGTATTATGAATCTAAAAGAGATAAACTCTCTTTTCATTTTCACTAATAAACAATTAATCCTACATTATTTCCAAATCTTAATGTCCATCTACTGCCTCTTTTTGCAATATGCACTATGCTTAAAATAAATGCAAGCTAGTGACAGACCTGAAACAAAAGGTTACCTGTCATGTAGCCTAGGTTACATGGAAATGACTCATCAGTGGTATTGACTTTGTACCGTATGTGCAAATGCTGATTTATGGCTGTGAAAGCCATTCTTATGGTTGAGTACCCATTCATCACCTCCAGCCTCTTTAAGTGGAGTTCCAGCACTGCAAATTGAACCTAACACACCACAGCATTGACCCAGTCACAGCAGCCGAGTCCAGTCTGAGTGTTGTGAAGTGAATAAGTTATATACCCAAGGCCTCCTGTCTAACTGAATGTAGGTCTGCTTTTTCACAAGACATCCCAGTATGCACTTTCAGCAGATGCTTAGCTGCTTTCATGCCCACTTCCCTAAAAAGTTAGTATCCCTTTTGGCTACAGTCAGTTTTTACCTTCACTGAGAGTAATATGTTGTATGTTCAATAATTCAAATATCAAATATAAATGATTTATTCACAAGTGGGAGGAGAGGGTCGTCCTTTTTTTTCTTAGTTCCTCAGACGTCTAAGAAAAGACAGCACTAGAGGAACGGAGGAGGAATGGTATAGCAAGAGACAGATGCTAGTTAAATTTGCACAAAATCAAATGGAGCCTGGCTTAACTATCAGTGAACTTGTGGAAGAGGGATGGGATGTAGGTCAAGAAAAAAATATCATGTAACTGCAGTAAAGTAAACTTTTCCGCCAAGGTTCAGACTAAAGAAAACACAGTGTAGGTGTGATCACACCCGTAAGCTTCTGCAAGGGATTTGAGGCAGGAAATCACGCTAGCTAGGGCCCTTAGATGGCAGCAGGATTAGCCACAGCCTTCACATCCTTTCTGCCAACTGGTGTGTCAATGATGAGCCGAGTTCACACACAGCTCCCACGTCGGCCCGCCCTCCACATCTGATAATATTTTTGTGAGGTTGGCGCGTAAGTTTGTCCCAGGAGAGACGGCGCTTTCTTAGTGCAGCTGGGGAACATCAACCCACAGCAGCAGACACAGATGACTTGACCTAGCTGACGCATCCTCAGGTAATGTGATGTGACGCCTAAGCTCCACTCTCTCAGGCACTATTCACTTCCCACTTGTCGGCCACCTCGCCGAAATGTGGAGGATTGGACATCTCCTGCTAGGGCAGTG